AACGCATATTTAAAAGCAAATTGCTCACAAAATAGACACAGGAATAGGGGATGTTTGGCAAATTTTAAACCAACTTTTACAATAATTGTTGAAAATGATTAATTTAAGACATTTTTAGTGACATGTCCAACAAGTCAAAAAGAAATCGTTGGAAGCAACACAGCTCACTCAATGTCCACCGCAGATACAGAAAAAGATTTTTCTCCCTACCATAGTATGATAGTTGATGCCTTTTGTATCGCTATGGCAGCTAATTTCAACAACTTTTGGATCTAGGAAATAAAGGGATGTAAACATTTCACTAAATGGGCTTCTTGCCGGGGTCAAAACAATGAAATACAAATCAGTGTGGTCTCTGTGAAAAGCGCACAATTATGGGAGGCAGAAAAATGTTTCATCAGCTGAAAAGAGGATTAGAGTTTTCCCATCTGCAATTAAAACAAGCAATGTGTGTGTTGCCGCATTACTCTCAAGTAGACTATATTTTCCCAAAATTTTGCAGTAACGTTATGTGAAGGCTCAGGCTCGTCATGCATGATTGTTGTGGTGTCAAAGGAATAAACATCATTCAGTAAGGAGGCAACAAAACAAGCAGACAGCGAGAGCCACCACAGTATGTCACAGTATACAATTTAGTTTTTTTTCAGTTTCTTTTTTCCTTTGAAAGAAAAAAGGACCATTAATCTTTAAATGTACTCAAGCTAAAAAAAACAAAACAACAACTCCAAGTTTTGCTTTCTCTAAAAACACAGTTCTGTTTCATGCAAAAACGTGACAGAGTTTCTTAAGTGGAGGTACTGCAAATTAGCAATCAGACGCAAGTAGGTGGGACAAAAGCACAATACTTTATCGCTCCCTAGTGGTGAATACTGATGGTGCCATTGGGCACACCCCTTAAGTCAAACATTTAATCTTAGTGCTTTTCATTGTTTTGTTTTCTTTTTCCCCTGCTCCATTTTCAGTTAAGGAATGTTTTCAATATCTTTTCAAGTAACTGAAATGGAAAACACTATTACTATACCCAAATTAAGGGTCGAAATACCCGAAACTAACATATAAAATTGCCATACTTCAGTCTATTAGAAATCGCATGAACCTCAAAAAATTACATTTGAAAATCAGATTAACTGATGATGTTTTGCTAATGAGGAGAAACCTAGTTTGATCCGTGCAGAATAACCTTCCAACTGGAAGAGCCTGCAGAGATTGTTCATGTGATGGCGATACATCGCAAGAAGGCATTTCTATGCTCACATCTCAAATAGATCTACAAGAACAGGCTAAATGACAAAACAGCTCCATATAAAGCAGCAGCGTAACAGTACGGCAAACTATTTACATCACTACGACTCCACAGTAGATTTAAATCTTTTCAACCATCGAACAAATTCCATCACTTTACAATGGCACCTGTCAAGGGGCAGCTTCTTGAGGATGAGGACTAAGAAACCAAAACTGAGCACCTGTGACAGCTTGAGCAATTCATGTGTGGCTCAAAGCTAAGCCACACTGAAAAGGAAGGTGCCTGGTGTCAAGAACCACATTCCTTTTCACTTCAGAGGGGGAGTTTTGGTGGTCTTACCTGATTAAACTCAGGACCTCTTGCACAACGTGGGAGGTGAGCTGGTTGAGGTGTGGTGCCCCTGGCAGGAAAACTGTGGTCATGGCATGAAACTGGATGTGACCCACACATGCTGAGGGGATGGCTGTTAAAATGTTAAAGACATAGGGTTCATGTTGCAGTCACTGTCATTTTATTCTAAGACAACAGTGATAATACATTTGACCGTCCATTATCCGGATTATTTATCCATACGTTAATTAAGTAGTTTCATTAAACTAGTGTTTAATTATAAGTAACAGCGAAGTTTCGTAATTTTTTTAAAAGAATGTAGTCTTCCATCACGCTACACAACAACCTAACATTGGTTAGCTGTCAAAATAAAAGGTAGAAATATTCACCGGAGGGACCTGCAATGGCGTCCATTTCCAAACTGCCGGCCGAGTCTTTTTGGAGCCAAAGTTGAGCGACAAGGCATGGTTCCGTGTGTAAAGTCGTAGATAAAGTTATTTTTTATGTCATTTTGGATTTGAAATGACTTTTCTTTTTTAAAAACCCACAACAACTGTAAAATGTGCGTCACGGCTGCATAAAGAAACACCCGCAGCTATCGCAGGTGTTTGTAATTAGTAATTGTGTGGTCAGTGTTCGATCCGTCCAAGACTCATCGAATTTTTCTGTCATCGAAAAGGGAGCATCCACATGAAAATAAAATGAGTAAAAAATACAAAGCACTAATAATTACTGAAAAAAACAAAAAATATATAAATTTGACACAAAAAAAAAATCTCTTTTTTTGTTTTTTTATCTTCGATTTAAAGGGTTAAAGCTGTGACACTAACATAAACTTTTTCACGAATCTTATTATTATTTTTCAAGGTGACAAAAGGGTTTTATGTTTTTGTTTTCAGTCATATTTTTGCCTGCATCCTTATCTCACTGCTTGGATGCAAATATGCCCCCTCAATAGGACAGTTCCATCTCCATCTGCTCTCAGAGTGTCCTGTGTCAAGTGTCCTGCTCTCCTGGTTCATCCCTTCTTCTTTCACAAAGGGTTGTTTGGTGTAATCTCAAAACTTCCACCCTGATTTCCTTTTGTTCGAGGGCACTCAAGTCTGTATTCCAAAGGCTTGCGAAGAGCCTTGTCACATCAATTTGCCGGAGAAGCAGAACAACACTGAGTGTATCTGGGTACCTACTGATGGTGAAAACTCCGATTCATCGATGTGCTTTTACTTGGAAGGTTAAAGAATGCTCTTGATGTTTTCAACACTTGTATGGTTTTTTATATGTTTCTTTTTATTCAGATAAATTGTTTGATTTGTGGTCTTTGTGTTTTTGTCTTTTTAACTAATACTTTGAAATGAGACGCTAAGCAGTAATGTCTCATTATCATCTTTAGAATTCCCCCCACTGCCCCACCAGGGAATAATTGGTTATAATAATGGATGGATGGATGTGTCATGTTAGTTATAACCCCATGTAGGGCACTTCACCAAAAGTGGTGGGTGCTGATCACCTGGTAACTGGGTTCTGTAGTGCTGCTTTGTAGATGTGGTGCAATTTGTAAAGCCAAAATTAGTTCTTTGTGATCTTCTGGTCTGACATTATTTTCTGTTGAATGTCAAGGTTTCTGGTTATTGCTCTTGTTTAGGTACAGATAAAAGTATCTGTTTTGTCTGTCTTCTCATATATTTAAGAAATGTCACTCTTAATCGAAACAGCAGGAAGCAAACGCTCACTGGATAACACAACAATTAAATGCAATCCTATGAAGAATCCCAATACTGGTTTTAGGCTTTGTTGTCATTGGGAAAAGGACCAATCATGACTCCTCAGTAAACACACGATTTGATGAAATACGGGGTTGTTTATCCTTTTTCCTCACAGATGAGTTCTAAGTCGGGGTGTGGGAGGGATGAGCCAGAGCAACAGCAGAAAAAAAATTGCGAGAAAGGTAAGTTGACAGAGCGAGAAATCAGGATGAGAATGAAGAGCACGAGTGATTTTGAGGGACAGTTTGCATGGGGAAAAAAATGGTGGGGGTGCAGAAACAGAGTAGAAAGGGAGGAGAACCGAGAAAACACAAGTCTGACTCTTGACAGTCGAGCACTGAGCTCAGCTGATGGCCCCTAATGAAGTACAGCAGCTGCAGAGGAGGAGCCCACACTGACAGCCTGAGCCCTTCTCTGATGAATGGTGGAGAAGGCAAACTCCAACACACACACACACACACACACACACACACATGCACACACCAGACACCAGGGCTGAAAGTTAGGTTTTACACGACCGTGATAGATGCAGCTGAACATGTGAGGTGGAGCAGAGAAGTGAATGACAGGACATTGTCAGGTTATATGAATAAACCGGATAGTGTGTGTTCTGCCCCTCTGTTGTTCAATGAACATCTGCAGAATTCTTTCTGTTATCAGTCTGTCAGATAAATCACAAGCCTCTTTTAATTGTCAGTGAGCAGAAATAAATAGCTGATAAGAAACCTAAAATATTTAGGTGTGTTGAGACGACTTGTTTTTATTTATACAGTATATATAAGAATGTTAAGTGGAACAGACTCCAGCAAAGACCAGAAATCTGTAGTCTGATGCAGATCAACATAATTTTAGCAGGTTTCATCAACTGACAGTGAAAGAAAGTTATGTGAACTTTCTTGGGGATAGTTTCTTATTATATTTAAGCTGTAAAGTCCTTTGCTTCCCCCTTCAGGGTGGAAAATGTTATTTTTGTATTAATTCTAACAAGTGTGTACAACATGACAATTGTCATCATATTACTAATACAGGAAATAAAACTGTTGAACACACTGTTAAAGCATTTACGATCTATGCAGAATTTGGAATGTTTTCAGGTTTTTTTTTCAACTTTTAAGATGATTGATGGTTCTTAATATGATAGTCCTACAAATGCACGGCAGGACAAAAAAAAGAAAATATATGTCTGAAACTGTCAAACTCAGGATTCAGAGCAGATGCTTCCAAGAACATTGCAGATTTAGATTAGGGCTCTTTCTACACTTTTTCTGTGTTGTGATATGCACAACACAGAATAAGTGGAACCCTATGCTTTCTCAATCAACTCTAAAAAATCTAATAGTTTTTGCATCAGAAAACATAGCTTTGGGAAAAATGTGCTAAAAATAAAACAAAAGAAAAAAATGAATGGACTTATTGGCTGCTCGCTGATAGAAATACTCATTTTCCAATAATTAAGTTTCAGACTTAGGAGTTTACCTTATTGCAGTTGGTATCAAGAAATGCTCTTTCTGCTTTAAGAAATCCAATATTTGTATTTCTTGTGAAGTGAAAACCTCTTTCACTACAGGACATTTTATGCTGGACTAGTCAGCATGATGTTATACTGTATATGAAAAAAAAACAATGTTTAAGACTCAAACTGGCAACAGAAATTTATTAAAAACAACAATCACTTAAATGTATTAAAAAGGCATGAACTGGTGGTTGGACAAGCAGAAATGGACATGAAGATGCAACCATGGTAACTAACAGCAGGTGGTAGCAAATCACCAGTTTTCTATGATTGTTGCTTCTCACACTGAAGGGCACCTTTGCTCCAAAGCCAACGCTGGTCAACAGATTTTATGTGAATCAGGTGGAAATTTGAAAAAGGAATGGCTTTATGTTCTGAAGCCGAGCATAACACACACACATGGTTAAATAAAACAGTTTATTTAACATCTGTTCATAAAAATAAAATTACATGTTACAAAAATTATTTCATATCACAGAACTGTACAAATGATGGCTCCATTTCAATGTTGTCTTGCCATAGAAAAATATAAAAGGCACTGTGCATTAGTCTGCTGCATATATAAAACATCCAAACCTTAAGAAACAGAAGACCGTTACAACACTTTATCTACAACTCCCCTTAAAGAAAAGCCCAGTTTGCAGTGTTGAACTGTGACATATCCATGTCCATTAAGTTCATTATGCCACAAACAGTAAAACTATTAAATTAACCAGTTTTTCCAAAAGAAACAACTGTGAGGAGTGTGAAAAATAACAGGTACAGGTACAGTGCTTAGACATAGGAAACAGCAAATACTTAAAAAGGATGGAATATGATCAGGTGTGCATGTAAAAAGTTTGGATGTGCTAAACTTTTTTCTACTGCATAAGCTATCACTTTAATATATTCATCCATCACCTCAAAATATCAGGGCGGCCCTGTTCAGGAGTTATGATTCATATTTCAATGTTGACTGTACCTGCTGTTTACTAAGAAACTCCATGATCAAGGATAAATCTTACTCTGTTTGCATTCTTATTTAGAATAAAATAAAATAAAAAACTAAAGAACAAACAAACATGCAAATGTATCTCATGAGCCAAAAAACAATCTGGAGGTTCCTATTCACACAGATCCTTGGGATCTATTTTGAAATGGTGCCAAAAGTGGGCCTGAGATGGCACCTCATGCTCTAAGAAAACATTCCGTCTGTAACTGAAATATAGCTGAATATAAGTAAAACCTTTGTATTCTTCGAAACCCACTGAATGACAAGTAGGCCCCCAAAAAACACAAAACAAAAAAAAACACATGCCTGACAGAACTGGGGCAGATGCCCAATAACACTGAAATAGAAGTGGTTAGAAAATAAGGGAATGGAACTTTTTCCTTTAAACAAGAAAATGTTTTTTTAATCTCTTAAGTGTTAAAGTAGCTTTATGAGACACATTCTGAACCCTAGAAAAGCAAATGTCCAGCAAACTCTTCTAGACGCGATTCTTTGAGTACCCTTCTCGGACTCTGCACTGTGCAAATTCACTGTTCAGTGTTTTCAGCAGCCACATAGCTAATTAAAGCAATCTGCCTCTCTTTTTATAATCTCTTTGGTGTCCAGTTTCACTTCCTACTTTCTGTTTAAAGTACATGGGAATACCCACCTTCTACAGAAGAACCACACTGTGGAAATCATTCCTTCTGTCGTCCAGTCTTTGAATCACCAATGCAGTTGTAGCTAAAATCATAGAAAACCATGTTCATCGAGTCCTTTTGTAGTAACCGGATTCCACTTTGCAGTAGTCTTTGTTGTAGAATAGCCTGCGAAATGACAATGAAAAAAACAAAGACAGTCAGAATCTTTACTTGTAAACATTGTAGTGGTCAACAACAACAAACATCATCATTACCTGATTCTGTTCTGCTCCTAGGGGGCTCTAGGGTCTGGACATTGGCAAAGGGCAGCCCCCTCCCTTCCACATCACTCTCCCCTGATGAGGTATGTTCCTCTGCCTTCATGTGCAAGGCAGACTTCTTGTGGTATTTGGCCCGGTAAGTGTCTGTCATACAGCCATCCACAGAGAAGAAGGTGGTGGGGAAAGCCAAATCTTTCAGAGAGGAGTCGTTACCGTCATCACGTCTGGGCTTTGGACTGGGCAACCTGTCGTCGCTTTCGCTGGCCGACAGATCGTTCCTGTCCTGGTCGGATGACCCTGACTTGGAACTGGCGTCAGATGAAAGCCTGTGCTCAGCAGGTGTCTCAATCCACCTCCGGAGGGTGGTATGGGAGAGCTGGGAGGAGCCATTTTTGGGCTCACTGCAGGGGCTCAGGCGTGCTGGCACCTCTGGTGGTCTGGAGTGAAGGCCAGATGGGTCGGCCTGAATGCTGCCAACCATCTTTGGGGGTAAAGGTGGTGGATAGCTCTGCGAGAAAGAGTCTACATGGGCAGTGCCAGTCTCTTCTTGTTCAGAGAAAGGTCCTGCAAGGTCATCGGAGCTGTTCCACTCTGAACTGCTGGTCTTGGCAAAATAAGGAGGCACTGGGCTTGTCGGGCTGTGATCCACATTTTCCTCTTGTTCGCTGTCCAGGCCATTGTTTTTTTCCAAAACCCCAGGCGTGTATCTGAAGGCCCTTTTTCTGTAGAAGCGCAAAACCACAAACAATGTAATTTACCTTGAAACTCTGACAAACTTACTAAAACAGTTTACAGAATGCCTTTAAGGAGTTTAATCTGTGCACTACCTTTGTAAAGGCTGACCAGACAGGATGCCCGAGTCATGAAGGTCTGGAGATTTTCTGCCCGTGTCACCTGAGAGAAATATTAATCCTCATGAGTGCTTTAAATCACTAGACACCAATTTGTAAATGCCAAAAATAGAGCAAGGTAACATCTGTGATTGGTTTCTATTTGAGCAAGGCTACACCCCCCCACGCCCCAGTGTCTCACCAGCACAGACCTGTTATCTAACTGAGGTCATAGTGAGGCCCTCTGCCTGGTGCTGGGAGAGGAAGTATCAAAGCTGCTAGTCTGGCAGAGTGCCCCCAGGCCTCCTGTGTACCACTCTGACTGTCTGATCCAGCCAAAGTACATGGCCCCTCAAAGGGAACATGGGGACACGTCCAGGCCCAGTTAGCTCTGAGCCACCAGTCCTAATAATACAGAACCCTGAATGAACTCAAACTGATCTGGAAAGAGTAAAAAAAATAAAATAAAATTTAAAAAAAGTAAAAATTTTAAGAAAGAACTAAAAATTAAGTGGCAAAATGTAATTCCGTCATGTAGGAGAAACGCATTTACTGTAAATCATGCCTCATAACATGAAGACATGCATTATTTCCCTTTTAAGGTAAATGCAAACAGAAATTTGGGACCAGGGCTGGGGTGAAAGCATGGCAGGTGTGAAGACCTAAAACTGACAGCAGCTGACTAACTGGAGAGGCAAGGCAGCGTATATGATGCTCGACTGTGCTGCGTCAGCAACCTTTTTTATTCTTCTTAACCTCCTTTACGCTCCATCAGAGCTTTAGTGGCTAAATCCTTTGTGCTGGCATGCAATTACGGCGGGGTAAGAGTCCAGCCCCTAGATCCCCACCACAGCACTGTTTCATTTTAAGCCATGAATTCCATGTAGGCATTCACAATTTGGTGCAGCTGATCTGTATTGTTGGCAAGCATCCGTAACAACACAATCCTCAAAAACAAAAGTGGGAGGAGGCGCTTTCTTAGAAAATCCTCATCTATATGATCAGAGGCACAGTGGAGGGCTTTCAAGAGAAACACAGCAGAGTCAATTCAGCTGCTATACTGGTCTGAAAGATCATCTGGGACTGTAAAAATCCAAAGATGTCCCAGACAAAAACCCGCCACTAAAAATGTAATGTCAACGGCCTCTTCCTGTTTAAAGTCTGGCTGACGTCCACAGAATACTCATTTTAGGGGAATTTTGATATATTTGCAAGTGCAGCGGATGCCAGAGAAGCAGATGTACTCAAAGTGTCCTGCTGTTTGTATGGCCTACTGCACTTGGCTGGAAAACCCTCCATGTACTGTGACGGCATGGATTAAACATGCAATAAGCAGTAAGTGGTGTACTATAAAATTCCCCTGACATTTCCATTTCAACTGAAGGGTATGAAGTCGAGTTACTAAATAGGATTAAAAAGAAATAGCGCCACCTCATGTTTATGTTTTTGCACAAAATCTGGCCAGATTGTCAGGTCTGACTTACTTTAAGTAGTTAAAAGAACAACACCCGTGGAAGCTCAGGCCCCAAACTACAGTGAGGCAGGAAGAGTCATTGAACATGTCATTGGCCATAACACAGAAGTGCCTCGGTGCATGTCGATGAGGCACCGGCATGCCAACAGTTAGCCAAAGGCTACGGCAGACACATCCCGTGGCATTAACACTTGCTATTATCACATCAGTCAAAGGTGTTTCAGTAGCAGCAACAGGCCAGCTCGGACTGGCAGCATTTTAGCGGGAAACACAAACTCATGGAGAGAGTGTACGCTGCCAGAGAGCACAGCCATTTCACAGGATAAAGGATTAAATACACAAATGTGTTTATCTTTCTCCTCACTGCAGCTGCTGCCAAACAGTCTTCAGAGCCACAATTTCTCAATTTTTTGTAAATGTGAGGATAAAAAGTTTTAACATAAAAGTGCTTACAGATTTTCATCCAAAAACAGGGAGAGAACTTCAGCATCAAAAGACTCAAAATAATCCTGAGTCAGACCTCAGTAATGGTTTTCCTTTTTGAAGCCTCTGTCTGAGCATGTTATAATGATTTGACTATCACGTTTTGTAGAGAATGACAGACTTATCCATTATCTTGAATGTCTTCAACATTCTTACTTTCAGAAGCACCCACGCAGGCTGCAGGGCTGACCCCCGCATCAGAGCCAGCTTTCTTGAGTCTCTGGCCGTAATGCTATCGTCCCAACAGATGGCTGCAAAGCAGATTGCACTCTGCACCACAGACTTACAGAGGATATTCAACATCTGTCTGAAAGGACTTCAGCGTGCTCTAGAAACAGTCTGCTCCGTTTTCACTTGTGTTACATGTTCAGTTCAGCCACGTTTAGTGCAGCCTGTCACTACAATCTACTGTCAGGCCTGAGCAAATATTCCATTAAAATAGCTGCTGGGGAATGACCCCGTCAGATTCCAACCTAGGTTTAGATTTTATGGCTGACTCTCAGCATTCCAAGACACTTGCGTTCCAAGTCAATTTACAACTGTGGAACCTTTTCAAATGCAGTTCTTGTAAAATAAAAAACTATAAAACAACCAAAGACTGCCATCACTCCACACAGACACCAGGGAACCTCATTGAGTAAATTAGAGCACAATGGGTGCTATTAATAGTACATTTTGCATACATAAAAACAAACAATGCATTACAGGTTAATAAACACTGCAATACAAAAAACAGAATTGCTGTCGCGTAGGCCTCTTAACATGAGTCACTCTTTATGGTCTTAGGCTCAAAGCACAAGACCAAAGGTACATCTGTATACAACATCTTTGAAGAAGATACATACAAAAAAACTATAAAGCTGAAAAAAATGTTTCATTTGAATCATGTTTGAAAACCACTTTGTGACAGCTCCAGTCATGGCATTTACAGCCTGGCAGGGCACAGCTGGGGGGCTGTTACAAGTTCACTCATCGCCAAATCTGATTCAGGATTAATTCTTGGTCTCCTGTTGAGAAAATTAATGAGCTATTTTTCTAGCACATTCATTCATGTAATAGGTATTTGCCTCTTCTTTTCCTGTGGCGATATCAGCAACCAAAGGCAAAGGCAAAGAATGTGAATGAAGTCCAAACTATGCACTCCAAAATGTTACTGATGCCTTGTTTTGACACACAAAGAAACAATAATCCAAGAGGAGGTGCCTTCTCGTGGTATAGTTTATAAAAAAGCAACATCTGAACCCTGGCAAATTTGTCTTGATATTCTCCATTGGATGTGAAATTTAATGTCATCTGTTGAAAGATTACATTATTCACAGAAGGCAACCAATAAAAGAATAAAATAAAAGAATATGCATTTAATCTGTTTTTTGTCTAGAGCAACCGATAAAAGAATTAAATAAAAAAATATCCATTTAATCTGTTTTTTGTCTTTTTTTAACAAGTACCAAAAAAAAAAGGGCCGGTCAGTCAGGACCCAACGCAGGCTTATTTCCATACTGTATCCCTTCAGACTGTGACCTTAACCCTCCAGATGGAACAATAAATCAAGGAAACTGCTGGTTGCTATCTTAATGGCGCATGTTTTTACAGCAAACCTACATCTGCCATGAGGAGAAAATGTCTTCAAGCAATTGTCAAAGACTGAATCTCCCAAGTTAAACAGGGAAAGATACATTTCTTTGGGCATTGAGGAATCAATACTAAAACAATCTGTTCACGGTATGTTTGGCATAACTATTTGAAAAAGACACAGATTTACTTACCAGTTGAAAATGCTGAGTACATGACATCTGCTCTAAAATCCTCACATCCTCTGTGAGGGAAGGGATCCCTAAAAGACAAATGTCACAACCTGTTCAGAAATATTTACTTGATTTTGAATCAACCATTTAGATTAAAACATTTAGAATGATGTGCTGTGAGTAAAAGAGGGGTGTTACTTGAGGTCATTATAGAAAAAGTCTGCTTTGTATTGATTTTAACACATAAATGTACAATACAAGATTTTTGTAATATAAAGTGCAGAGAGAGTCATCTATAAAATAATTAATAAACTTCACTGACTGCCATGCTAAAAACTGGCCACTGATCCTCTTAAAGAAATACTAAAATCACTGTTTCAGTACTTTGAACACCGTCAACAGATAAATTTACGCAATGCATTCAGACCTGAGTGTATCCTGTACTCAGCAGCTGCTAAGTACAGGACGACAGGAGTTTTCAGCTAGTTTGGATCATTGTCTCTAGACAGCAAAGACAGCCAATGACAGCCAAGTGTAACGAGATTGGAAAATGTCCCCTGTGTAGATTTAAGTTGAGCAGTTTGTTTATGCAGTTTAAATATTTAAAAAAACATTTCTGATACATTGGAAAACCTGCGTTAATTATTGTTATTACACTTTGAGGCACCGAGTTTAGGAGCGCTCTGCGGACAGAAACCCAACAGGTGTTGTTACCTCATCTGATGCAGCTCAGGGATGGGCCGGAGATCCTTGGAAGAAAGGCCGTCGACAACAGGCGAGTCAAGGTTTGCAGAGCCATTGCTAAGTCTGTCACTGCTTTCATATCCGGATTCGGTTCTCTGGAATTTCCAGTTATCGTTGCGCACTTTAAGACTAGCCGAACTCTTCGATCGTTCCTTGTCATTGTGGCCTCCTCTGCCCTCTGAGTCCAGCGAGCTTCGACTGCCACCAGTGTCATGCCTCTGCTCATCCTCATAGATGGTCATCAGGCTCTTGGGTTTGCGCTCCTCCTTCCCTCCCCATGTAAAATCTCTGTCGTGCTCTTGCTCACGTGATGGCGACTGGCTGCTGGGCCTTCTGCGAGGACTGTGGTGCTTTCGCTCTTCACTGGTTGGATTTCCAGTATCTACGCTGCTTAAAACACTGTCCACGTTCAGCGCCTCGCGCATGGGCCTCCAAGGACGACTGGCTCTGCTGCGGCTGCTCCCCTCATTTCGATCTCGGGAGTCTTGGCTGCTGTCAGTGTCGTACCCGTTGGAAAGCTGATCCACCCTCCGGCTGTGATGGCCACTTCTTACAGTGGGCACGCTGGGGAGAACCTGGACCCTGGAGTGGGAGCGAGATGGTTCCTGGGAGGACCGGCCACCGAGCTGCGGCATTCGCTCAGGCCGGATTGGGCCCTTTCCTTGGCTGCTGTACAGTCGTGTCTCAATGTATTTTTTGAAGCCATTCTCCGGAGGGGAAGCAGAGCGGGAGTAGGTCCTGTCCTGACCTAAATCTGTGGGGAAAAAAAAGTTTCCATTTGGCTCAGAAATATCTCAAAAAGATGATTTTTATCCTCTGTTATAAATCTAAAACTCTCTCTCCCGCCGACACGAATATATCAAAGTCTTTCAGTTCTACAGGAACATATGAAAGATCACTGAAATAAGTCAGCACTTCAATCCTGATGTGATGTTCAACGACAGAGATTTTTCCTGACATATCTGACTCCCCTGCTTTCCTTTTCCACCTGAAGCAAAAAGGACATGTTATAAATAACACAGCCACAACTGAAAATGGATCCACACTGACACCTTGACACCAAGACACAAAGCTGTGCTGAAGAACACAGCGGAAAGTGAGGATAGGGCATGACGACAGCAGAGTTAGAGGCATTTGTGTCTTCATATGACAGGAAGGTGTAAATTACAGCCACCAGGATTCAAATTTCTTCCGTAGTGTGTGTGCACAATGAGGACAGTTCATTTTTAAAACCTCCACGAAAGTTCCTCCTACTAAATGTGTCCAGGTTATGTTTTCTGTGCTTGTGTGCTAAAGTGCTAATGTGTGTGTTGTGCTATAGATCTTTGCCTTTCGGTTAAAAGAAAAAATGAAAAATGAAAAAAATAATAATAATTTTTGTAACTATAGGACCTAAAAGCAGTTTTAGATTAACAATTATCTTACAAAAGGAAGTTAAACTAACAACATTCAAGTTGTATGTAAGTAATATTAAAGCTTCTTTATTATTAACAGTTTTCCTTAAGTACAATTCACAGAAACTGTTGTCAGCTTAAAATGATCATCTAAATGTATGAGAAAATTTGATATGTGGTTATGTCACATTTGAGTGTAAAATAAGTGAATTTAGTGCTTCATATAGCTGTCAGGACTTGGAAATAACCCAGCAGGAGACTTGGCTCCCACTGCTTTTGATTTTGCTGACTGTGAGTCACCATTAAATCACTTCAAACACAGCTGTCTGCATTTTTTACTTAAATGTGTGTTACCGGGGTGTTTTAAGAGTTTCTGCTGCCAAGAAGATGAAGAGTCCAAGAACTGTTGAAGTTCTAAAATATTAAAAATCAATACAGCTGGTGATCATTTAACCCTTCCTTAAGCTTCTCTTAACATTCAATATGAGCTACAAACTTGCTCAGATTTCTACCGAAAGCTGTAGACTATGAATTTGTTTGATGTTATAAATTGTTCCTCATGGATATTTAGTAAAAAGCAACTGTCATAAAAGGAATAAAAAAAAAAAAAATCAATATTTGAAAAAGAAATTCCACAAAAAAGTAGCAAAACAATCAACTTTGCAATTAAATAGACCCTTCACTTCAATTTACAGCTTTCATCTCTCTTGCTTTCATCGGCTTAGCTGTGGCTGTACTTATTTGTTAGTAATCATGTAGACTACAGAAGGAAACCAACAGCTCTGACTATGTGAGTGGATGATCAAGGCCGCCTCCAACAGACGTCAGCAATAAATCCCCTTTCTGACACATTGCTCTAAAACTGAAGGTTACCTAAGTGCCAAGGAAACTGAGGGCCAGCTTGCTGAATCACAACCCATGTCAATTCTCATGCATACGTGATGTTCAGCACCTGCAGACATTTACAGGTGCACAAAAGCCAGCAGCCCACCTTTATACCGTGTGTCCAGCCTGCGCGGACCACTTCGATCGGCATCTTGTCTTGACAAATGCATTCCCCGTAATTCTCCTGCTTTTTGGGCTACTTCTCTGGAAATATCCCTGAGGCGACTCTTTGGATCGCTGGTGCCAGTTTTACCTAGAGAGATCATACACAGGTATTTCAAACGTTTTGATCTGAGTTTAGACAGAGGTATCTTTCGTCCCGACATTCGTTTCCTCATGATTGTTTTCCTTCTCTAAGTCCCCATCACTGAGCCAATGAGCAGGTGCCCAGCGTGTTGACAATGGCGCAGCACACTGTTGTAATGATGTATACTGTAGATTTTCGGCAGCGTGAGGAGAAATGCTGCAGGGAGGCCATGCCTAAGCTTCTGTGCCTCATCTCTGGCAGGCATTCACTCAGAAATGCCATGATTAGTCATGGCTGGAAAACATGATCTCACTAAAGTCAGCTTCAAAAAGAAGGACTGTGAAGAGAACATGACAATAAAAAAAAGAAGACAAAAGAAAACTTAAAATTTGACATTTCATTGCTTTGTAGCCTTCCCTTTTAATAACATTCAAAAGAGCTGAAACAACTGTAAAAACCTTCAGGATATTTCCCACCACACCATAAGATTATGAAAAAAACTGAATTTATAATAACTGCTCAGGGTAAACAGTGAAAACACTTCTTACACTGTTCATATTTACACATTTACACAGAACCCTCAGCGCTTAGTGACGTTTCTGCTCAAAAGGAGTTCCGCATTCAATCTGTAATACCAATGTGGCCAGAATTAAACAGTGATGACATATTAGTATCTCTTCTTCTGGTTGTGTTTCCAGAACGGTGCTAATTGTCAGTCTCTGTGGACAAAAATATTTATACATCAAGCTGGTATTTCAAGGCTAACAAGTAAACACACCGCACAGCAGGGCTCATCTATCTGTTTGCATGTTTTCTCGATCTCTGTGGAAAATCTGTGCCTAAACCATTGGCTGCTTTCCGTTTCCAAATGTTTCATTTAATCCGTCGCCAATATGCTATGAAGCGGTTCATATCCTAAAGACTTCATTATTCCCACCTGAAAATCTCTTCCTGCTCTTTAGTTACTGTTCCATGTCCCCCCCCCCCCCCTCTCTTTACCTGCCCCCCGTCCTCCGCTGGTCTGAGCACTACCCCTGCTGAGAGTCGAGGGAGTCTTCTTTTTCAGAGAGTCGTTGCCCAGCACAGCTTTCAGATTCTCTGTAGTGAGGTCCAGCTTCCTGGGCACTGACACTGGAGACTCAAAGCCTGCAGCAGACAAATTAAGAAAGGAAAAAAGAAATATCACTTAATTTTTGGGGGCTAACTCCTTTTTGGAAACTAGCTTGTTCCGATTTCATGCAGAAACAAAAGAGACTATTCCCTCACCTGCAATGCAAATGACACATTAGTAAGTCACTATGTACACATCCTAAATCAGAATTCATCAGAACATTTAGACACGGCTCTTCTTGGTTTTGGGAGAATTTAGCTGGACACCCTGTCAGTCCTGATGTGGCTGTGAACAGCTGCCCAGCTTGGAGCTGGATCACAGCCAGCAGGGAGAGATAGAGGAGGATCTTTAAAGGGGATAAAATCCTCCCAACCACACAAATCCTAAGACATATAATCCCAACACCAGAGATATTTAGCTGTTGTTATCAACAAATTATCATTTGACTGGCAGCAGATCTATGCAATCTGCACAACTTGAGAATTTTAACTTCAAACTACATTTCTAATGTTTCTCTGATTTTTTTCTCTAACGTATTTGGTTATAGTTATCTGAATGGGTCCAGAGTGAGTAAAGTTACTTCGTACCAATACTACCAGGACTAAAAGAATTATGTTAAAAGCAGAAACGATCTGAAAGCTAAATCAACCCAAACTTCAGATAACAAACTTCAACCTTTCAGGTAATCTAGCCGAAGACACAAAACTTCCTGGAACTTTAAGTGCAACTAAACCAGCTGGTAGCTGCTTGTTTTTTGGTACTCCTTCCACCACACCCTAGTTCAGTAGCATGTGTAAAGATGTAAAGAGAAGCAGCTGTCCAGCTCAGCTAGAGTTGAAAATATTGAGTGGTTGTGGGGGTCAGCTGGGATGTGATTACAGCTAATAAGCACGCAAAAAATGCATTAAGATTTCTAGTCCAGCTGAAGAAGATTTATGAATCTCAAGGGAAGTTTAAACTCTACTCTATCTAAACCAGTACTGAACCAGATAATTACGGTTTTGGAACAAACCATACCTTGTACTTCTCCATTGATGGAGAACTTGTCATGGGACTGCCTGCTGTTTGGTCTCGAGGCATCTTCTGTGGTGATGGCACTCCCATCAGGGTTTGAGTAAAAAAGTAGGAGAGGCTGGAAGTGACCTTTGATACACTTGCTGACCACATCTTTCCATCTTGAGCCAATCTATTGCAAATGAGAGAAAAAAGGGGGCCAAAAAGGTTAGAAGAAAATGCATGCAGATGAAAGGCACATTGATCAGTGGAAATGTCCACCTCCAATAAGGGCCAAAAACATACAAATGGCCATCAAAATAAAACATTTCTTTCTCCAAATTCCACACAAAGTCTCAATGCAACCCATACCTGAAATTATTCAACATATAATTTTCAACCATATTCATTCCATGATGGAATCAACATAATTATTTTACATGTAACAGCAAAAACGAGAAAGTGTCTAATCTGTTCAGCTAAGAAATTTACAAGAAAATGACAGAGACGTCCCCAGCCAATCAGAGCTGGCGACAGGTTATTGCCCTGAAAATGTTTAAAATAAGAAACTTGTTTATAGACTTGAAAAGCAGAGTTTGAGCTACAGTGCAGCAGTTACTCAGAGGCTGGTGTTTGGGAGACAATGCTGGAATGTGTTGATCCAGGTATTCGCTTGGCAGGAGAGCTGAATACCGTAGCTCCTTTATCTCACTTGGGAGGGGTTGCACACACAGCACCAGCTGTTGATGGATGGACCCAGAGCGAGCCAGCCGATGCACCACAGTCCCCAAGAAAATAGTGAAGATCCGAGACAAAACGCATGCTCACATGCACACATCATCCATATACACTGAACAGACAGCGAAAAGTTCAGATAATGGATACTTGGCTTTAAAGCTGGTGTACTGAATATGCACAAAGTCGACAAGAAAAATCAGTAAATTAAATAAGTAAGAACACTTTCACACAAAAACATGCAGCACACAGAGAAATACACAACGATTTAGCAGGGACCACTTCACTTAAACCAGAGACGGGATCCATTAAAGGATCTTTAATGATTAAGCCCCACTTTAACAGTGCAGGACTTTGTGACAACAAAGTTGGGGATTTGCGGTAGAAATGGAAATGGTTTTGGCTGACCTCAGCATCATAGAAACATACATACAAGCCATACATCAGCAGATAAGCAATGAATGTGCCCCCTGTTGGACATCAGATAGATTTAGTGATGGAGAGAACAGATGGAAAATTGCTATTCTAAGCTGATGCTTGCAAAACAGGCTGCTTACTTAAACAATGAATCCCTATACAATGCTGAAAACTCTTTATGCCAAAAGTATTAACTTTAAAACAAAAAAAGAAGAAGCACAAATCCTGTTGAAGTGCAACACAAAGGTTAGTCAAATTTCAAAAGATTTCTAAGATCCCAGCATTAACATATGGAAATAAATGCTTTTTGTGATTGAACCAGCTTTCTGTTTCTGCAGACCACAAGTTATCAAACCAGAAAACCTGCCCACACACTGCTAAATGAACCAAAATATGACACAGAAGTCTACAAACTCAAGCTGAAGTCGGTGTTCAGCTGAGCAATGATATCAGCAGATGTGGACTTTTGCTCACCTCTTTCACAGTAGCATCATCAAAGAAGACCCATTTGGAAGATTTGGTGTGGAAAGTGAAGGCACAGTAGTGGCGGCTGGAATAGCAGATCATTCCTACGAGCAGCAGTTCTCCTTTTTTGGCATGTTCATCTGTAACTCTGTAGAAAAGCTGAGTGCACAAACACATGCAAAAACAAAACAATTACACTTCAATTATTCATTTGCAACATTAGTAATTCAAAGGGGAGGGCAAGCAAATGACTCCTATTAATAGTCAAATAAAACTGTTCAGAGATTTTCGAATATCAGCATTATTTGAGAGAAATGGTCAGGTTTGAATAATGGAAGATCATTTTCCTCAATACTATTACCAGTATTAACCTTACTTTATACTTTGTGTTTGAACAGATAGCACTAACAGTGAGTTGGAGAATAGTCTCCATGCTTATGGAACAAACAGTTCCCCCTCACTCAACAACAACAAAAAAAAAGATTTCAAAGCAAATCATAGGGGCGGAGGGCTCCCTTTTAACACCCAATAAAGTCACATGAAATGCTCCCTAATGAATACAGGCCTTTGTGACACAGTAATGTGACTGTGGGTTTGAATTCTTTTGATGGCATGCTTGGGAAACCCCAAAAGAGCCCCGTCATGTCAATGGTTTGACTAGTTCATTTTAAAAAAAGAAAAAAAAAACTTATGTAATCTGTGTCCCGATCTGAACTGATTGATTTTTTGCATGTGCTTAAACAGTGAACTGATGAGGAAAAGGACAGAGAGGAATTAGAAATCCAGTGCCATTATTGCTAGAATTTTTCAATATGACAGAAATGTGTGAAGAAATCAGAAAAAGCAAAACAACAACAAAAGCAGCCGAGAACACATTTCATCTTCCCTTTTTCTGTGAAAACCATCTGCCCACGTGTTCACTTCACAGACATGCTCACACACACGCACACACAAAGATGAGCTGAAGAGGCTTTTCCGACAAGCTGACCAGGACCAGCGGGTGCTTTTTGATCAGCAGCGTGGGCCAACTGGGCACTGGGCGTTAACTGCTTATGCAACAGCCCAGACTTAGAGAGAAATAAATCCCCACTAAATTTCCCACTAATGTTTGAGTGCACCAAAATAAACTAGGCCTAAAACAGTGGGAGTGGAGTTGGCAGTTTTATGAAATAGTAGTTTAAATTGTTTTGTTTTTTTTAAATGCACCAAGCTACTAACAAATTTAATCATGAGTGACGATTTTATAGCCAAAGTAAGTCTTTCTAATTCAGTTGGACTCTGAATTAAATGTAAATGATAGGTTAAAAACAGGCTCACCGCAGACAGACTGAGATGAGGCCCCAGTGAGCGGATAACATCCTCTGTGAGATCGGACTGATCCGAGTCCCATACAAAGCCTATGGTCACTATTTCTGGGGAGTTCATGAGGACTTGTCTGATCCGAATCCTCTGCCCACAGTTGCTCTGGAAGAAAAGGATAAGGGAAATAAGAAAAAGTCCATACCATAATTTGCAAGCAACTGCAGCTGATTACAATGTTTCACTTTTGTGAGATTTGTCCACTGAAGCAGCTGCATTTTTCCCTTACTGGACAGTTTCGAAGGTCTCCAATCGTACTTGCTACTTGTAACAGTTCCCCAAAAGACTCGTCTCTACGCTGAAGCATCTGTTGGCTAAAAAAAAAAGAGCGAACACATGCGGTTAGCAGAAGAACAGGAAAGCCTAAGCAAAAAAGATGAAGACAAATTATGATTAAGGAAGTGGGGTGGTGATATTTGACGAGAGGAAGGTCAGAAAATTAGAAACGGTCTGCCCCTTACCAAAGTGCAGTGGTGGAGATATAATGCACCAGCTCTGTAAATGGGAGTGGGTCGGAGGATGCCCCACAGCTACGACACACAGACTGTTGGGGGTGGGGGGGGGGGGGGGGGGTAGGGAAAAAAAGGGTAACAAACAAAAGGAAATAGTTACAACAGGAAAATACTTTTTTTATTGTGATTCCAGCATGTTTAACCATTGCTATATGCAGATTATTTCATATCACAATGAAAAGAAATCAAAATTCTTAATTTTTACCAACAAATGTATTGTGGCTTTGGAGTTTTCAAATGTCACTTTCAGGCATGTCATTCAATAAGTAATCTTTCTTTCTCCCCAGGATAAGAAGAATCCTCACTTAGGTCCAGAGCATCTGTGCTTGACTCGGCACCCAAACTTTGCCCACAAGAGATTAAGTCCAAAGGATGTGTTATCTATTTGATTTAGAGATAATGCTGGTTTGGAACAGGGACAAAGTCACTGATGGGCATCAGAGCCACAGGGCAGGGTGGTGTGTGTGTGTGTGTTTTGTGCTGAGGAGGAATTCTGTTTACACAATCTGTGGGATATCCAGTAGTGCTGCAGCGCAGTAAAATCTGACAAGAAAAAACATCCATATTCCACAAGGGGCTTCGTGGTTGCACAACATGATGGATTATTTTTCGATTGTCCCAGGCAGTGAGTCATGTCTGTATGCATGCATGTGAGTGTGTTGCTGAATCCCACCCAACAGCTTAGGAAACAAATATTAAATGTAAAGTCACATAACAAAATAGACACTTTCTTTCTCCTCAAAAGATTCATTAAACCTGGACTCTGACGAGAATATTCACTGACGCTTTCAATCCACCAAACTGACCTGCTCGTACAGCGACAAAGCAAACTTCTGATGTGTGATACAAGACTTTGAAGTGCAGGCATCCGTCTCCTCAGGCACAATGTGAAGGTGGATCCTCTCCAGAATGTTCTCCTGTGACAGAGCAGATTTTCAGACATGGTTACAATAAGCGCCAATCCCATTTCCCCCAATATTCTCTCCTCTATTTGCTCATTTTCATTGGTTAAATATTAGGAATGTCTTTGTAAACCAGAGGTTGACCTTAAAGAAAAGTCCAGGTTTTTTTCTTCCTTTTTTTGCTTCTCGTTATATAAACTCAGTGACTGTGAGTTTATTCAATATTATGGCTGCCTGGTAGGTCTGCATAATTAAGGGATCAGCTTCACAGTTTGATAATGTGACAATGGTTAATTCCTCACATAAACTCTTCCCGCACACTGCTTTACATGTCGAATGCTTGTGGATAAAGATCTGTGTGAGATAACGAACAGAAGACAAACAAAAAAGAGAAACTCTGGCATGTGATCATCCTGCCCCTTAGAAATACTTGGCATGTGTACCACCCATTGCAAAATTAACTAATTTGTAACTAAGTACTTCCCTTTTTTACTGTCTGATCGGGTCATAAAATAGGTTGGAAAATTGATTAAAAATAATGAGGCCTTTTAAACCCTTCATTCAAAATATGAATAATGAAAACTAACAATGATAATGGAAAAGATATAATAATGAAATAAATTAAATCGGTGAGACTTTACACTTCACTGGGAATTAAGCAATTCTACACACATTATTTTTCTAATTTCTAAAGCAATTAGAAAAATAAGAAAGAAGAAAAACAAATTTATCAGAATATCTCTTAAATCCAAGTAAAATCCCCATGAGACCATGTTGTAGTTGTAGCAAAATCGCAATGCAACCCAGGAACAACAAGGAGCTCGTGAGGACAGATAAGAAGAGTAAAAATTAACTTAGATCAACAGGAAAAATAGTTTTGACACACCCAGAAAGGCAAAGAACACGCTCCAGCTCCAAAAATACATCCAGTCTGATGTTTGCAGCCACACAGCCGCACATGGAAAGCGGTTTTGGAGAAATGTGTTTGGATTAAAAGTCTAAGTATTTAGCCAATACTAACACCATTCAGTCCAACATTTTCCTACTTCGTATAAGATAAGACATGGTAATTGCTCCTTGTTAGACTCGAGTAAAAAATTCCACCTTTGCAAATAAAAAAAGGCAGAATGCAAGAATTTTTTTTAAGGTTTTAAAATAAAATGAAAACAGAAAATAAAGTGAGTTTGGTTCCTTTAAAAGGCATTTCTTTGGGAATAAATGACTTGTGCTTTGTTTCTATGTTGTATCTTTTTTTGTAACCAGACCAACCCTAACCCACGTTAGGAGTGGATGCTGGGCACTGCAGTGGATGCATCAACCTGTGGGAGGATTTTACTGCCCAAAAAAAAATGAGAGCATTGTGAGGGAGAAAAAGGACAAACATAAATCAAGATTTACATCAAGATAATATCTAACAATATGGAAATGTGGAGAGTTATTCTAAAATATATATATATATATATATATATATATATATATATATATATATATATATATATATATAACAATAAGGTTAATGGTTGTTAATAGTGACTTTGCTCCACTGATATTCTGACATTTCACACACGGCTCATAAGGTAAAATGAAGTCATGGCATTAACTGACCGAGACTGAATATTTACAAGGATTAAATGTAATGATGCATGAAAAACAGGTTTTAAATGTATTTGGCTGATGGGTAGAGAACATTTTGACAGCATTTGCAGTTTGTTAGCCAGACACATAAGATCCTTTCTTTAGTTTGTCCACCACAGTGTAATTTGAGCTCTTAAGAGGATAAGCAGTTACTGCAGAATAATACATCTGTTCTCAGTTAGTATGAGTGTAAATCTAGGAAGCAGAACTTTAAAGAACAAGAAGCCGATTAACATGATTTTCTTTTAATAACGTAATATGGCCACACAAAACAAAGAGGTTCGCCACAACTGCTGCTTACATAAGCTGTCATGATGATATTTAACACCAGTGTGGCAGGAGTTGATGGGAGGGGAGGGAGACAAAAGCTCTTTCAGTGACCTCGCCAAACAGTTTGTTGCAGTGTAACAGTCCAACTGTGTGGCAGTACAGCACACAAACATGCCCACATCCCCTTATGACACCCAAGTTGCCACAGGAACTTACAAAGCACTCGGCGGCATCATCCATGAAGCCCAGCTGGAAGCGATGCTCGTCCTTAAAGGTCTCTGCCAAGGCGTGACGCAGGTTGTCAGAAGGAAGGGCACGCTCCCGACTGTGCTGGAACTGGGAGAAAATACCCTGAAGAAGAGAGTAAGAGCTGGTTTCTACTTGGAAAATTGCTTCTGTTTACAGCAGGTATTTTTGTCACATTTATTGTTCACAACTCAGTCTGGTTAAGTGTGACCTAATGATCCACAAATCAAGACAACGACAATAAGGAATATACTCTTCCTTTTCTTTACTCAGTCAGTACACACTTGCAGCTGATGATATCATACCTTTAATGCACAAAATATGCACGAGTCTCCCAGACAGAAGTGGCCAGGTAGCTGCCTCAAGCTGCGCCTGAAGATGTCCAGATGCCACAGTACCTGAATATTGGATAGAATAGCAGGTCAGAACACACATCACCACCCTATTTTTTCTGAGCATCTGATAAAAGGCTAAACTAAACCGACCCACATTTATAGCGATTCAAAAAACCAGCCATCTTTAATGATTAGAAAACAGACAGACAGAAAACAGTCCACAGGGAAGCATCTTATAATGTAGACAAAACATCCTGAAGTCTTTTGTTACGGAATTCAGGGCATTCAAATAAATCTACAAGGTCGTGAGAATAAAGAGTCTTCATTCCCTTACAGAAACACCGCCATGGGTAACAGTCATCTTCAACTAGCACATCAGTTGTCTCACACTGAGTCCCCACCCTTTTCAAGACTGGCCCATCAGTGACCCTGCCATGAATCATCTCACCATCTGGTACTTCAGCAACCTTCAAATATAATTACAACCCACTGAGAAGCTCTAGTAAATTTAGACAGTGACTAAGCTCTGAAACTCCTAAATAAATGATGGTCATGTTTGAAGTGGGTGGAAAATGCTCAATTCTCAGAAAAGAGCCACAATTCAATGTGGGATTGAAAAGTGTGGTAAATTTGATATGCCCTCTGTGCTTTGCTAATTCAAATTCAACTTCTCCCATTTTAAGTATTATGACACAATTATATTTCTTTACATCATCTTTTAAATGTTCCATAACATATTATTTTTGTGTACCCAGAAAGCTGAGCACTTCAGAGACACATCCTTTGGTAAGTTTTTCAGCTTGTAAACATGCTTAATGGCCAAATAAGATTCCTTCCATTTTTGTTTGAGGGATTTTTCTTCCTTCAAACAGCAGAAGGCTCCCAGTCTGTCAGATTCTTGGGCTGTCCTAAGAGCATTTGAACATTTTTAGTGTTGCTGAAGTAAAAAACTGTGAGGGCTGAGGCAAAACATTCCTTCACAGAAGATTATTTTGGTTTGTCAACACTAATGTCTGGTTTAAGGCTCTTCTCTTCAAGTAAAATGTGATGTTTGTTTTCAAAAGTTGAACTGGAAGCATGGGTCTCTTTGTTTGACACCCACATCACCAATGTATAATTATACCAATACATAAGATTTGCCTCCTGAAATCTATCAGGATTTATCAGTATAGTCAAGCAAGGACGTAAGAAAACAATATTTTCAAATTTCACTTTCTGCCTTTAAGAAATTGTTTACAATTCTATTCACTTTACTGTTCATACACATCTTTGGCAAAAATCTCACTCAGCTAAAATACAAACTGATACCATCCACAAACAAAACCGTGTCAGTCATACCTGCACAGCACTGTTGAGGAAGCAGCTGTTCTGGCCCGGTTCATTCAAAAGTCCTTTGGTGGGTGCCAGAGACAGCATGCTCCCAGGCTGGTACGATTTCCCCAGATTGCCTCCCGGCTTCCTGAAGAACTTGACCCATGCCATTGGTCAGTGAAGTCTACCTTAAGACTGGTGGGATAATCAGAGGACAGGGCAGGTTGGTGCTGGGATCAGATCCTGTGGCCCCTGAGGGAATGATACCCCAACAGTCTGAGGCTAAGTTATTCCACAAGCTGCAGCAACTGCCCTGCAACACATGGGCTAGTGGTCTATTTCAGCAGCTCAGGGAAAAGCTTCTCTCACTTTGAGCACAAGTTAAAAAATCTTTTTGATGGGAAAAAAAAAAAGTAGAAAGAGGAAAATTAATATATTAAAAACAGGCAAAAGGGAAAGGTTACAGTCCAAGTCTTCGGTTTGATAATCCTTTGGAAATATGCTGTCCTTTACTTGGGAAAACATAGATCTTGCTCATGCAGAAAAATGGCTCGGTCATCTTGCGAAACTGCTGGTCAACGCCGCACAGCTGCCTCAGACGGGACTGCAGGTTCCCCTCAGCACAATCTGCTGCATGACACCGACTCTCATCTGCACTTCATTACTCCTCTCAGAAGTTCCCCCACAGTAAAGATTGATCCAGTGAAGACAGCAAACACGGCCAGGCTGTTACAGGAAAAACAAGAGGATGAAACAGCAAGGTCAGTCAGGCAAATGTGGAAGTCATTGGCAGTTACAGCTCTTGTCTAAAAAAAAAACAACCACAAAAAAAGCAAGCATGACAACTGAGTTGTTGTGGATTGACAGCAGAAAGTCCAACACATCTAAACCATCACCTCTCACCGTTGGTCTCCCTTGCTCATAAACAAACCAAACATTTCAGACAGGTCAACAAAGTTTACACATTAACTTTTACAAACACCCTTTGCACTGCAGGTGTGTCAAACTAAACTTAGCCCTAACCAGGTTGAATTTTGCAGACACATTTACACACAGATTGTTCAACAATAGTGATACTGACATTAAAGAAAATCTCTGTGAACTTTCTTAGGATGACAGAACAGAGATTTCCTGTCACTACTGGAAGAAATAATACATAATCCAGCAGCTTTTCAATCATTTTTCAACTGTGCTGATTACCAGTTAACCACTCATTGTCCTTATTCCCAGTTAGTTCCATGTCAAACAGTGATCTTAAACTCAGAACTGAATATGCATTTTTCACAGTGAATAAGTCTGCTAGAGTCAGAAGACGTTTTATGTGGATTTTAACAGAACCAAGGCAAAAGACCAAAGTGAAGTCATTACTCAGCTATTTGTGGCACAGACTTGTTTCTTTTGTTTGGTACTTTGTCAGGCACCATCACACTTCTATAAACTGAGCCACACAGATAGACTAGTCAGACCCCTTTTCTTTTCCCATCAATTACAGGATGAAAATACAGAGCATACAGTTCAATTCAAGAAACTTACAGTCCATGCAGCTTCAGCATTAGTGAGCAGCACAAACAGCAGAGAACGTGCATGGTGCACCTCTGGCTGAGCGGACGACTGAGTGGTTTGATGGATGGATATATTTGTGCTGAGCGAGCAGTAGAAGCTGTGTCTGAGTTTTTACATTAGGGAATGCTTCAAGTGATCCATATGGTTACAACCTGTAATTTACTCTAGATTTATTGCCATTTTTAAAAGTTGTTTTTACTCTAAATTGAAACAAAGCTCACTTTGTGGGAAACTAAACTCATGACAGGTAAATCTCCAATGACAAAGAAGAGGCAATGGGGATATGTGGTTCAGCCTTCTTTCTTTTAATCCCCAACACCTAAAAAAATAGACAAAAGAAAAGCTGAACAGTTTTATTGTTCAGTGTCCTATTTAGCACACAAACCCTCTCTTGTGACAGACTCCAGAACACCTGAAGTTTCACCCTAAACCTGCTGGACAACATTGCCATCCTGGAATTTCCAGAATCCCAAATGAATGGTGATGTTGTCCCATTGCAAATTTTGAGAAGTTAATGTCCCAATCTGAGGCTTACTTAAAAAATAAAAAGCAGAGTCAAGATCTTCACAGGATTTAACTAAACATACTAAAGTCTCTGCCCCTGCACTGTGGAACTGGGCTCCATGGAAACAGCATTCCAAAGCAACCACTTAAGCTCAGAGTTGCTTAAGAAGAGCTGTTGTTTTTATATTAGTTTCAGGGCTGGGGTAGCAGGTGGAAATCTGTAAGCCGCAGTTATGTCATCCACCGAGTCCTTTACACGGCCTGAGATGCTGAGACTTGTCTGTCATAAAGTCACAAGGCTTGGGCATCAACCTTGTCTGTATCTGAAGAATGAAAATAAATAAATAAAAGAATTTATCACAAATATCATGTTGCACAAGTCCAAGTGGTGAGCTTGAAAATATTTCTTTCTTAACCACCAGACTGACTGAACACCAGCGAATGGACTAAAATGTTCAAAAGGAGGCCCACAAGCATCCACACCAATCAGACTCATTAACCAGCCTGTGACAACAATACCACACGTCTTCATGCCCACATTATTCAAAGTCAAACTGAGGGTATGGACAGTGATGCTAGCATATGTTCTGTACTGCCACAATGCTGACATGACAACAGCAAACAGCCCAGATGGCTCTGCCTTTTTGTCTCCATACATTTGATTGCATTACAGTGGTCCACCTGAAAAACAGCTGACTTATTAACTGTTTTTTTTGCCTGACATGCTGACCACAAGAAAATAATCTTCCATGTCATTCAAGTAAAAAGATAGTTAGTTAATGGCTAAAAGCATCTGTTTGAACAGTGGTGCAACAAAAAAAGCCTCAACTTTAGAAAAATGCTGAACTTTCACTGCAGACTATGTAGTGTCTGCACTGCGAGATTCGGTGCATTTTTAGACACCGACTCCCTGACTTACAAAAGACTGAACAGTCAGTATGCTGTTCCTGTGAAGATAATTACAGAGGAAATGCTGGAAGTCATGCTGCAAAGTCTGCTCAGGTGGTTCTGCAAAGCCCTGTGTGGATTTCATACACTGCTGTGCAATTTTTTTAACTTGAAAAGTGTTCCTTAAAAAGATTTAAAACAGATCCCCCTTCACCTGTTTCAGCTGGATTTGGATATGAATATCTGCTCTGCTGTTTACAAATCAAGATAAGACCAATTCCCACAACTTTGTACATATAGATATTTTTCCTAAAACCAACCTCTGTTACATTGTGAGATCTCTTAAATAAGTTATCGTTACGTTAAATGTGGCATTGCTGACTTTAAACCTCGACTTTCGTCTTTTATCTTTGGTTGTTTAGTTTAGTCAGCTGCACGGCTGCCCCACAAACACCAATTACATGCAACAGTGACATGTTGGGAATAGTTCACGTTTTATACGAGATAAGTGGAAAATAGGTCAAAAGTGCAGCCGGATACACAAACTACTCCGACAGTAAAAGCTGGTGCAGTCATAAAAATATAAATCCTACACCATTTAGAGCGTCACACAGTGTCAAACAAAATATCATCTTTTCTTTGTCCGGCTCACCTTTAGTTAAGGTTATTTAAAATATTCAGCAGTCAAAAGTAGAGAAGAGAACAGATTTTCCTCCTGGACAGCAAAGGGAAGATAAATGAATATGTTCAAAAATATGAACAAGAAAAAGGCCAAAATTCCGAAATAAATAGGAAGAGTGATTTAGATTATGTCGTAATACATTGAAAAAACAAATTTAAGGCAAATTCAATAAAATGGCTGAACTACTTTACCTACACTAATAAAAAAGTCACATCAGAAATAAGAAACTATAGAAAACATTCTCAGAAACGATTATATTATGTAACAGAAAGTAAATATCAACCCAATAATGATACATGCCTCAGAAAGGCCTTTCAATCCATCTAAAAAAGGAGCCACTCTGTGATCATTATTCACACTTAAAAAGTAAAGAAACCATCACTTTGGCTGCATTGTCTCAACCTTTGTAAATATGTAGAATACCTTCACACGCCAGCAAAACAAAATAACTAATTTCACCGTGACCTCTCTGGAGAACCGATGCAGGAAGCCCAGTCTTCCTCTTTAAACAAAGGCTTTCTCAGATCTGTCAAGTGTTGGGCTGACTCTTTTTCCTCTCTTTTCATTGGGAGAAAGCTAAGGCTAGCAACTTAAAATCAGTCAGGTGTCAGCAGCTTTGACAAGCCTGTGGAATCTGTAATACGTGGTTTCATCTGGCATGAAGCTATGGGGAGTTGAGAGAAGCTATAATTTATTTATTAGCAATCTGTTGATGGATAGCCCCATTAAGAAGGATTCAATTGATCTCCTTTACATGGTAATGCCTGGAGCTGCTGATAAATCAATCTGTGGTAAATTGAGTCACACTATTTCATCGCCTTATAATGTAAGAGCAGAAACACATCATGGAACGCACAGACAGTTAAGCGCATATTGTCCTGTTCCCCTTCAGCGTTGATGAACGTCTTTTCTACTTTTTTTGTCATCCACGAGCCTTCGTCCTACTTTCTGCCCACACTGTGGTAGGAAAAAAAAATAAGCACGCACTTTTATTGGAGCTGCACACTTGGTGATTTTTTTTGTCTGATACTATAAAATGCCTGCCATGTATAATTATTATGTTGCCAGAGTAACAAAAACAAAGCATCTACTCATCCGCAGTCAAATGAATCCTGTGAAACATCATTTGAGAAACTATTCTTTGTAATCTGTACCTGAAAACGACTAAGGGAACGAAGAGAAAAGAAAAATAAAAGCCTGCAAATAACTGGGACGGAAAAAAAAAAAAGCTTAGGCAGGTAACAGCATTGTAATTACAGGATCAGAGTTTGCAGTTGGGATGAATTTACACTTGAAGCAAAGTTTCCCCACCTCTGAAATCACTATCATTCTCACTGGCAAAAGGACAGTTTAAATGTTGAATGACTTATTGTTGTGTCCGCATCCTGTAATACATTCCACAAAAAATATCTACATAAGATTAAGGTCTAATTATTCTAATTTCGACTACCCTTGACGAAATCCTTTAAAGCCCAGGACTTGAAGCGCAGGCTTTTAGAGCTCCTCGACAGTCGGATGTATTCAGTCACACAAACATGTTAATATTCAAAAGAGGCCTTAACACAAGCAGCCCCTGCATGCACAGTCAGCAGTACAAAGACATGACCCTGCATGCTCAACCCCAAAAATAACAGTGGGACTTGACTGCATGGTTTAAATCCCCCACAGACTTAATTCAAGCCTTTGGGTAACAATGCACTTATAATTTCCTGTGTGGGCTTCCTGTGCAAAGGCTTGCTACCCTTCTGAACATGGTCACCCTGATCGGTCTTTTCAACACTGAACAGGTCACCCACGTCACACTGAGTCACCTGTTACTTCTGGGGTGAGCAAAAGCACAGGAATTCAGTCTTACTGAAATCAGAATCAGAAATATTTCAAATGAAATATCCTCCATCTCCGACTTCAGACTTACAAAACTTGCCAAAAATATCAACTCTGATACGGGTACTTCATTCAATCTTCATATTAACATTTATGTAAGCACATTAAAGTGTTGTTTAGATAAATGTGAATATGTAAACATTCGCATATAAATTCAACAGTGGGTGTTTTCATTCAAATCTCGGAGGAATAGTAAGACATGAGCACCACTTGTTTCGGGTTCGGCTGCACAAACAAAGACGTGACAGAGGACACGGAGTCCAAACTGGTTCTTCAGCATGCCTCCCTTCTGTTTTCAAGAGTCTCAGTCCTTATGGAAATGTTCCAAAAGCATCAGCATAAAGGATGAGAGTACATGGTGTCAACAGGGCAGATGACCTCACCGTTTCATCATGACTGTGCTGGAACTGAAGCCTGCTGATCAGGAGTTTTGTGACTCCAATAAATTCAAGTGAGATCTTTGGGGTTTTTTAAGTTTACAGAAGGGAACATACGAGTTTGTCTCAAGTTGTGTGGGAGCTCCTTTAAACTCCAACATATCAGCCAAGTCTCCAGTGTGCGTCAGTAAACCCATTCTGGCTGTTGTAAGTGGACAACATGTGAAAACAAACGCTGGATACACGATGAGTCGACGTCTAATTCTAAATTTTGCTACGCTTGATATCAGCAAAGCGTCAGCTAGCAACCAGTAAACACTCCAATAACACTTTTAAAAGAAAACACCAACGTAAAGCAGCGCACAGAAACACTGAAAACAGACTCATCGGCTCTGTTGACGTTTTAAAGATGTCCACGGCACATTTGAACGTTTGACGGGTGGCTAACAGATGCTAACGCTGGGCCCTACCTGCTTTCACCTGAGTTCCAGGTACTAGATTTCCGCCCCATGTAGCGCTGCTCTGCGTCAGCTAGGAAACTTTCAGAGACCACTCACCTAAAAGACACTCACCTCCAAGACAGTAAAGACCAACAAAAAGCTGCAAATTCCTTTAAAGTGAACAGAGAAGGATTCCGAGTATTTCGGGTTGACTTTGGTGAAAAAAAGAAGCTCAGAAGCAAAACAAAAAAAAGAGTCTCTGGTTTAAACGTATACAGGCAGAGACGCTATGGAAAACTACTCCGCCGTCCAGCCAGGGACGTGTTGCCTTCTGACGTTCAAACTTCACTCTTTCTTGGTTTGGTATGACTTCTTTGCCAGCCACAGCTCCACTTCGGACACAACAGTCGCCTCCGTACACTTGCGGTACTCCGGTTCAAAGCGACTCCGTCTCGGCTGCGGTTGACTGACGCGCGGCGGTAGTGAGCAATGGTCGCTCGGTCGACTTGGATACCTGAAATACTGGATTAGAGATGTTTTCAGAGCCGAGATGTCAAACCCCGCCTCTTCCACACTGTATGCACTGCAGTCTGCCATGCTGCTGCACACCGCTGCCACAGCGCGCACACACACACACACACACACACGGGCTGAGACACAAACACACACACACACACACACGGGCTGAGACACACACTCTCCGGCTCTCGCAGACGCCAACTCTGCTGCCTGGCAGGCTTGTTAATGTTGCTTTACGAAGGAGGGTTCTGCAGTTTGCAGCCCAGTACTGCAAAGCTGCATCATATGCTGCTATAGTTTGCAATCAACTTGCATTTTCGCTTCTGGAACATTCTTGTACTGCATTTGCTCTTTTACTTTTGTCTCCCATAGTAAACAGGAGTGAAAGATAATGGGATAAAAACCAACAACTCCCAACAGAATATCTCCATGCTTTGGGGGTCATCTTTTCCAGTGGCCTGCGATCAAACTTGATTTTTGGATTGTTAAATATTTCTTTCACACTCAAACAATGTGGTGACAGTACTGACACAGATGATTATGAGGGTGGAGAAAAGTCATGTAAGGCTCCTGTTACCTAAACACCATCTGCCTGATCCTGTTACATAAAGAAAGCAAATGAAAAGAGTGTGCAATTAAAGCTTTTCTCCCCCTATTTTAAGCAAGAGGATGTAAAAGCTGTGTCATCTTCAGGGCTCAAGCTGACCGATTTTCTCCCTTTTTCTTTATTGAGGACACTAATACAGATAGTTTGGACAGCTGCCACAGCAGAGAGAGAGCAATAATCATATGAGATTCATCACAAAACTGGAAGTGATAGTTGTATCTGGGGCTTCCTTGAAAAAAAAGAAAAGATTTGATTGTATCCAATTATATATTTTTGTTGAGACAATTTAAGGTGAAACAAAAAATAGCCCAGATTCAGATTTAAGGATTTATTTAATATTAAATACGCAGTTACTTTATAATAAATACATAATTTAAGGATTATGTACCACTGTTTTTCCCCATCAACATAATGAAGGCTAAATACTGTAAGGTTGTCTAAATTCACTGAATATTTGCAATAAAATCAATAATCAGCTGTGTCACCAAATTTGGCTGTTATTTGAACATTGCATTCATCTTAAATAAATGGTATCTGATTCAGAAAGTATCAGTCACTCAGTAATATTGAGGAAACTGAATGCAATGATGGAGTGTGCACAAAGGGGTATCAGCGTGGTCCAGACTTTCCCCAGGAAGTACTTTAAAGGAACTATAGTAAAGACACCGCCACTTCCCTCTGCACTCATTTCCTCAAGGGACATAATGCTTCCTCCTAAGACATAAAACTGTTCAATGGTGAATTTATATTAATTGAGTTTGAATAAACTTGGTAAAAGGGTTCAAGAAGGTAGATTCTTTTTCTTCATGTCCTTTGGGGGAAAATATATTCATGGTGCTCAGAGCTCATAGAAGGTAGATTCACTTTATGACAGTTACTTTATTCCCACCGTGTCTGTGGGCCTCCAAGTTTTAAAAGTGCTGTGAGTGAATGTCTTGCACTACCAATGAATTATGGATAAGATATATCAGAGAGATCAGGTCTTAAACAGACTCCACAAAGATTAACTTTTTTCCTGACCTTGGTGACCAGCTTGCTATCCTGGAGCCAAGTCTGACTATTTGTGCCTTGACAGCACAGATTCAATTGTTCTTTGTGGACACTCTGACCTGCACCTCGAGTGACTTAAAGAGTGGTTCACTGTTATTCACCTGCACTCTTTATCTTGAACCATCGTTACCTCTTGATATGTTGGGTGTTTTTAAATGTATCTCACCTGTTTTGACACTTTTCATTTGAGCAGATTACTAGTTGGTTGCATGAAAGTGGACCTTAAAGTGGGTGTTCGCTTTTCAGCTAAACGACCAGCAAAACCAGAAGTGCTCCATAGTTCTGATGTAATAAACTGTTTCATGTGAGATTTTCATTACTTTGTGAGCACTGCGACCATGTTTAATGTCCTATAGAGAGACACTGACATAGCCCTGACTTCTCACCTTTGGATGCAGTGAACAGCAAGAGATCTGCTGCTCATGGTGAATAAACACACCTTTTTGCCTGTGATGCCAACAATAATGACTTACTATATAATTTGAGTATTGTTTCACTGGGTCACCAAATTCCACTTCATCCAAAATGTGCTATGGCTTTTGAACCAGGGTATTTTTAGCTCTGCTGTTTCCAATCAATATTTACAGGACTGCAATCAATTCTCCATAGGAAGAAAAACAACAGCTCTGCTACACATCCACAAAAAGTCTTTCAGGTTTCAATGTAATTATATATAATTACCCAATAGACATAAAAGAAATATGATTATTTTAACATTTAAAAAAGCACTAGCTAATTAATCAAGCATGTTGTCATACGGATTGTTTTACTGTTGAGCTTATCTTCCATTTCTGCTGATTTTATTTAACCTGTTGACAAATCAGCATGGGTTAAATTTAGGTCTCGGATTAAATGTAAACTTACTGTTTTGGCTTGGAAAAGAATAAATCCCTAGTTTGTGTGAACGTTTGCGTACGCACACGTACATGTTGATGAGTGTGGTTTCATAGGAAATGCAAATAGATCAAATGGAGCAGCTTGTACTCGTCAAAAGCAATGTGAGACGTAACTCATCCCAACCAATCATGTAACCAAAAACAAATACTGGATTTTATTCCAACGCATTGTTGGAATGAATGGGTACAAACTGAGAGATTGTCAGTGAGAGTAACATTTCTTTCTCCCTTAGTTTTTGGAAAAACTCCACAAAGAGCAACGATGAAACAAAGCAAAGCTTTAATAATTTCTTATAATGAGGAACCACACAGAAGTTAATGCCCTGTTGTTACACAAGAGATTAAACATGTTCCAGCACCCCAATGGGAGCCATGGGATGTCACACCTTAGTCATTTATGCTATACAACAACCACTCTTCAGATTTGACATGCCTATTAGCTCAGCAATTCTTTGAGACCTTTTGCCCAATCTTTAAAAGAGGAAAAAAATATCCAAAAAACATCTGTTGGTATCTTGTTGATATTCACTGGCATTGTATTTGTGCTCTATCATGATGACTTAACACATTATATAAACACATTATGTCCCAGCATGGTTTCAAAATGCCCCATGATGGCAAGCGTATTCTTTGTACTTTCAACATCCTCTGTGTCCTTTTGAATGAAGTCCTCTCTTACCATTGTGAGGATTTTCCATATTGTTTTTAAAGAAAAGTTTATATGAGCATTTTTATTTCTCTCTGTTTTCTTTTGTGTTTGTTTTTGTTTTGCAATTAACTGGGTTACACTGGATCTGGAGAGCAGCCAAAGGGGTGACTGTGATAGATTTCACTGCTGTGTCTGCTGTATCCACAGTAGCAGCAGCATGCAGGAAAACATGCTGCAGCCACTGTTATGTATGTGACTATGGGAAAGTCAAAGGCTTCACAATTCTGTTCCAAACAGCATAATTAGAATTAAACATTTCATTGTATTTCCACATAACATACATGTAAACCTATTTTCCATTATCTAAAACATTTTAGCTTAAAAAATGTACATTTTCTTTTGGCCTCACAGTCTATTTAGTTACCTGTTGTGTTTGCTGTTGGAAGTTAATGATTCTTGGCTTAATGTTAACCAACGAGAGGAGGTTAACAAATATTGACCAGTCAGGAAGTGAGATGAGCCCCCAGGGGTAAAAGGCATAGGCTGTATTATTGGGTGGCAGCACAGCTCTAATTGGTCTCAAGGGCTTTTGCAAGTAAACATGATCACCATTTTGAAAGCTCATTTAACCATGCAGGCTAATTACTAGCCTAGCTGTGAGGATCCTTTCGCACAGCGGTTTCAACAGTAAGAAGTTTGATGTGTAAGCTAATGAGAACACAGCACTCAACGATTGTTTTCTGTCCCTAATGAAAGGTCTTTGAAGAAGAAAAGAAAGTCAGGGATTCACCTTGTGATCCCGTCCAATTAAAAACGCTAACAGTTTTTTGCACATGCTCAGTAACTGGCACAATCTTTGTTTGTTCACTAAAGAGCATTTACAAAAGCGTGTTGTACTCTTAAAAGTAAACAAACTGAGATATTTTTCTTCAACTCAGTTCAGCCTCCTGACATCAGAGGTGGAATGTGGGCCATGACACCCTTCACCTCACCTTACCTCAGCACCATCCGACCAACCTATGAGTTTCCCTCACATTATTACCCTGTCAGGTTTTGCTTTTTCTTTTCCAAGACGTCAAGCTCAGCTACTCTGTCTTACCATCAAGAGAGAAAGACATAAACTATAATGGTGAAACACTAGATTAGCCATGCATGGAGCTATTACACTATTACAAGGTTAATTCAAGAGTTCCAACATGTGTTGTTGAGGATTGCTTTAAAAGTGCTTGCTATACCCTTGAAAGGATCATATGTCTTCCTCTAGGTGAGGCATAGTGCCCTTGCAGTTAGTTCACAGCACATTTGTTTTCTCGCTTAGTCCATACATACTTAGAGGAATCCTTCTGGGATATTGGCTGGTCAAGTGGCTCAGCCTTTTAGCAGTTGTCTGTGTCAGCAGCAAACAGTGCACTCAGCGCTTGGTGCTGTGTGTGCAAATGGAGACCCGAGGGAGTTTAGCTTTGAAACATGATGGTGACTGCAACTGCAGCACAGTTCATTGTTACAGCTGATGTAGATACAGAGAGCCAGCAGATCAGACGGGGTTGGGTCACAGTGAAATCAAGAGGTGACTTATGAAATGGAGGGAACAAGTGACTCACTTGTCGCACACAAAAATGAATTAGTGTTTCTGTCTTTATAGGTTTATTTTTTATACTAAAAGCAGACTCTCGATTTCTCCATCAGTGAAGGTTCTAATTGGATTGGCTTTTGTTTAAATGAGGCTCAGAGGCACTTCAATGTCCATAAGACTTTTTATTAACTAAGAAAAATAACTAACTAAAAATAACTAAGAATTATTGAAATATAGAATTGATTCAGAGATGGTTTTTTTCAATAGCTAAATACAAAGCCAGCAAAAGCTCAAGTCTGAGAATGTGTTGCGTCTCTTGCACTTCCTTTTCCATCTCATGCCAAGGCAAACATGCCTAAGAGGAAACCATTAGCAGTCAGGGATTAATAGTAAAAAATCCTCTGGCTCCTTGACCCTCAGCCTACACTGCAGTTATTGCTAATAATACTTCCGTTGCTACATTTTTATAATGTCTACCTTTAAAGTTCAAAGTAAGTTCAAGCCTACTTTTGGTACACACTGTGAGATATTTAATGTCCCTGGCAGAGCTGCTGGCACTGACGGATGCTGGGTGGTGTTCTATACACACAACTCCCCGGAGAAGGCTGGCCAGAGGTATTCAGCAGGACTCAAAGAGGGAGTGGAACCGGGAGCTGCACATTCCAAAGAGCCTTGTGATGGTGGCGAGGAATGCTGACGCTGGACTTAGTCACATGCCTTCAAGAAACCTGAGAGACATTTCCTAATTCTGTTTTGAAGAAAGAGAAGACAACACTTAATGTAATCAAATTTGTCATACTACATGCTATCTGCAACCGTTCTGATGCACAGGAATGAGTTTCATATTCAGTGTATTTACTACTATAAAATCCCATTTTTACTTTGCATTTATCTACAAAAATTTCGATTAAAATACATGCCTCTGAGCCTCATTTAAATAAAAAGCATGCATTTTTAATCTAAATTTTCTTTCATTACAAATTTATACCTGAAAAATTCTGTATTTTGATGATTTCCATGGACCAAATCCCAACAGTATTTCATTGCGTGTATGACACAGTTGGCATTAAATTGGATTTGGATTCTTCATGTTGTTGAACAGTGATTGTTGTTTTGAGCCACTGTGACAAAGCTATAAAAAAATCCAATTGTGAATAGACAGAATTAAGCACTGTGTTTGTGATTTAGAGGTGTGAACTTTCAATTTGGCAATAAATACCTTTAGTTTTAATGATCTAGCAACCAATAAACTAGACAGACAACCAGATCAGAAGTAGCTTATGACAAAATGACAAATACAATAGATTATCAAAGCATCAATGCAGAAAAATACACAAGATTTCAGAAATAATTTTTCTTCAAGGTAACATCTTTTTAAAGCCAAAATGTGAAGAGAACCCAGTTATGTATTATAATAAAGAAAAGTCAGAATAGGAGACGATACCTGAAAAGCCGCATTGCTTAAACGTTCACTTTCAGAACTGCTAAATGCAGAAACATAAAAAACATACAGAAAGGCAAATAAGTAGGAGATCTAGCTCAGTCCATCAGTCACACTCCCTCTACTGGGCATAGCCAAAAGGTGAAAGAAGCATCAGTCAATTTGCTCATGTCGGTGAAGCAGATTTGATTTGTCAAGCGGTGTAACCTTGGGGCATGTAACAGTAGCTCACATGTATCTTTGGCCTCTTACATGATACATTGTGTGATGGGTTTGACTAGGATCTGCGTAATATGCCCAAGTTATCCTTCAGAGTTGCTCTTTCCATCACATTGAAATTATAATCAGGGTGAATATGGTGAAATTTTAAAAAAAGAGTCAATGTTTCTGTTGCACTCTGCACCACTTTATTGAGCAAAATATTGTCTTTACAAGGAAGAATACTGTTATGCACATCAATGTACAATATCTTTTATTTTCTCAAGGAGTGTTTGCTTTTCATTTATAAGGTATCATTTCCTTGCACTGCAGCAGTTGACAACTCTGGAGAATTAAGGGACGCTGTGTATATTGGAATTTAAACCAGCAACACCCAACATGATGCCTTTTCTCAGCCTCTCTCTGTTCTGAGAGAAATGTCACCCTGCCCACAAATCCCCCTGCTGAAGTAACTACATAGACAACATCCCTGTGTGACTTCTTTATGGGTTCAGAGGTCATCTGACTCAGGGATGAGCAAAGGCTCAAGGGAAGCATTTGGAAGTGTGGCTGCACCACCTGTTGAAAGCCACCCAAGAGCAGATCTGTTGAAGGAGGGCCGGTCTACTGCACCTTCCCCCTGGAGGGCCAGGAGGTCCGGGAGATCCGGGAGGTTTTCCATCTGGAGGGGCTTGGTGGGAGCAGGTCTGGGTCCATTGCTGAAGCCGCCAAAAGGGGTTGCTACCCTGGATGTCACAGAAGGGCGCAGTTAACATTAACTGTCATGTGCCAATGTGAGAAACTGCAGTGATATTTCAGTGATTAAACGAAAGTGAAGACTTATCGAAGTGTGAAAGTCTTACACTACAGATGTTGACACTTAGAAAGGCTGTTTTCTCACTCAGGACTTGTTTACATTATAAATTATAATACAATTCTGAGAAAAAGAATGTTAAATATCTTGATTTATTGAAAGTGTGGAGTTATAAATATGAAAACCGTATTCAAGGATTTTGTTGTCCCAGGATTAGAGACTTTATCTGGTGTGCATGGCACCTGATGAGACCTATGGCAAACAACAGAGGATGAGTTGTCTTTGTATCTCATCTCTGCATACTGTGGTTACATTATGAGATTCTTAACAAGAGATGGACAAGATACATCCGTTCCTCTTAATACACTGCACCTGAAGGTCACTGTGGACTGCCTTCAAAATGCATTACAGTCTCTAGTTAAATAATGGTTATCCCTGCTATGAAATATGATGTCTTTAGTTTCAATACAAAAGTTTTTTATTATATTATCTCTTTACATTTGGTGTTTAGTATGGACGAGTATCCAAAGTTAAAGTTAGAGATTGCGACCACCTAAATACTCTCGAGTTACGAGTGCCAATCTCTCATTTCCCTCTCTTGTTTGAATATGATAGCGCTTAGCTCATATTCAATGTTTCTTCTTTTATAAAGCCTCTGTGTTAAAATTAAACACAAACATCTGGGTTCGAACAGAAAGCCAAGAAGGAAGTTGTAAAACAGCAGTTCCTGGAAAGCTAAATGGGGCTAGCTATTAAACTGAGTCCATCGCCATCGAGTTGTGCATCAAACTACTACATTTACCTTTAGCCAAAATTAGATTAACCAATTACAGTTAAGAATGAGACAGAAAAAGACAAAACACAACATAATTCGAATGTTCAAATGTTTTAAATAACATTTAAAAAATGTCATAGTGATGGTAGTGTCCACACTCACTGAGTTCAACTGGTTAATATCAACCATTATGGGGGTGTTTTGTTAATTGCTTTTTGGTACCTGTTGAAGCTTTTGTATCCTGGTAGGTCTGCACGGGGCTGCATCTCAGGTATGCGGATGACGAGCGTGTCAGCTAAGGCTGGGTCATTGATAATGGCCTGTTCCCAGGGTGAGTGGTACGACTTAGGCACTGCTGTACAGTTGAACTTTTCTGGAGGGATGTCTTTCAAAGGACCTCCATATCCTAGTGATGCAACAGAGAAATGAATCACAGGTTCTCTGGATTTCACATGAAGAACAAGCTCTTTGTTTCGTCTTTTCATTGTTTGTTTATCTTTTAATTCTTTCTTGTTTCTAAACACAACGTTTTTGATAAAGAACGTCTCGCAGGCACAATGTGAGCTAGTTGTGAAACAGCAATGAGCACACAGAATGTTCATTCTGAGCTTTGTGATGCCCCGAGAGATTTGTTTTTTAAAACGTTCTGTTCTTATCCTGAAAAAATGGTTTGATTTTTTATTTGCCTGATGTTTTACATGTGTATGAGAGGAAAAGTCTGAGTGTGTGAAATTGCAACCTCCCACGGTGTCCAGCTTTTTTCCCTCCCTGAAGTTCACAAGCTTCCCTATGTTTTTACTGCATACCAACATACATGTCTCCCTGCATCGTCTGTGTGTGTTGATGGGAGAGGCCTTTCCAAAGTACTATCCTTCAAACCCAATGCTTCACTCAGGGGGGTTTACAAACTCAGGCCTTACATAATATGGGGCGTCGTGTCACGTCCTAACCTTCAACAATGAACAATCCCCCTTCCTGAGTTTATGCTTTGCCCTGAGGGGGAAGCGGGAGGGACCAAACAGACCTGAGGTCAAGTTTACAGATTTTTTGGGGGAATTTATTGCAAAACATTGTTTATAAGCTTTTTTAAGCCATGGAATATTGTTTGCGAGGATACCTTCTTGGCTAGGTGAATATTTTCATTGGAATTATATATTACACAGGCTGCTTTGTGTTTTCCCTTTTTTTAAGCAGATAACACATCATTTTGATTGTAACTGCACACTTTCATGCATTGTACCAAGTTAGGATAAGAAATGTTCATAGAATAGTACCGACTCCAGCTTAAGAAATATTGCTGTCAGTACAGAAACATGAAACGAACACTCCTTGAGTGAGTTGAGTGCTATTTTAAGATTTTTTTACCATTTGATACCAAATGCACTTTGACCTAATTTCTCTTACAGCTGGAGTGACTTCATTCAGATAGAGTAGGGTGGTGTCTGGTCCAGAAATAACACCCCATCACTGTGTGGACATACTCATCCTTAATTCAGTGCTTAATTCAGTTTAATGTCAACTAGGCAAAATTGAGCCATGTGGGAGGATGTTAGTGTGAAGCTGATGGTATCAGTGGCACAAGAGGAAAGCAGGAAACACATCCTGTAGTTAAAACTCAACAATTTCTTAAATTATACTTGCCGATTACACAGAAAATTTCAGAAAAATAGGAAGAAACAAAGAAATGTGGAGAAGAAGGTTTGAAATCAAGGAGACGGTTGTGGGGATGATAAACGAAAGGAGAGAGAGAGAGGAAAAGAATAGCAACATGTAATCATATTTTGCCTGAGGACAGAAGATTCCAAACATGAAAAAAATGTTTTCCTACATGATCAAAGTGTGAGTCAGAACAAACTATGAAAAACACTGGAATCCTTATCAAAACATGGTACATCCAGTACTTTGTGTTTAGCCCTTCCACCCAGCGGCTCCTCTAGATCCAAAGGTTGTACTGTACATACAAAAGTTCTGAAAACATACGGAGGGAAGGTTAACCCACTGAGATCTAAGGTTTTGTTTTAAAAACCCTCTCAAACCTGGGACCTTTGTGGAAAAAATGAATGGTACTCAAAAAGAATATTTCTGGGCTTATAGCAGTATAAGACATGGCATCATGGATCTCCGACCGGTGTTGCGGTTTTACCCACCTGGTGCAATGCTGCTTGGATTCGCCACCACTTTTGCATCTGATGTATCAGTTGTTATGTTAGATGATTGGTTCGCACCCAGTTTATTCTCACTGCTGTTGCTGCCTGTGACATTTTCAGTCTCAATTTGAGAAACTACACTGCTCTAAAAGAGAGAACAAAAAGGTCAGCATGTGTGTTAGTGTGTCTGCAAACAAGTTATTAAGAATGCTGATATTGTAAGTAGTATAAGACAGAATCACCGTGGGATATCTTAATCTTAAGTACATCAATATTTTAAATAGCTGAGAAATTATAATTTTTCATTATGTTTGAAGCAACAAGCAAGCTGTCCCATTGTCCAGCTATAGAGGTATTGTTTTCTTGACTTGGGGGAATGCACTGCTGCCCAGGCATCCAGCTTTCATTCCTCTGAAAGATATTTATGATGATTTACTCAGGACTTCCTCAGGAAATGTTGACAACTTGAAACAGAGACATTCTATTGCCCCGAGCAAGAAATAAACTGAGATAAATGAGTGTTTCTTACTTCAAAGATTAGGGAAGTGCTTTCCCTTGCCAGAGGCAATTTTTTTTTATCTATAGACTTCAAGAGAGCAATGATAAGTTCACAGAACTGCTGCATAACGAAATGAAAGAGGATATGACACATTCTAAAGATTAATTAGATATAACAAAGAGAAGCATGGTTGATTGAATGTTACAGTAAGAAATTCAATATAAGAATAGGTCAGACTAAGGCTTGTCCTATTGAAAGAAGAAAAAGCTGAGTTGGTTCACTTCTCATCCATACACAAAGGAAGAAAAATGAATAAAGGTACTCATGAGATGCTGGAGGACTGCAATAACAACTACCATAAAACCCAATGTAGCCCAAGTCAAGTAAACACTTCCAAGTGTCAGGATGTGTGCAAATGTTTTTACTGAGAGGGTGGGAAATTAGGTGAGAAAAATAGTATTATCCAGTAGTTAATGAAAAGGAAATCAGTAAGACTCTTGCATTAATCAAGATGATCTGTTTTGAACAGGTTCATTTGAGAACAAAGAGGAGCTCATAATCCCCATAATGAGGTGCTTCTGCCAACACAATGTGCTGGATTTTCTCTAAAAGTTTGAGTTTGACTGTTGCATCTTTTTTGTAATTTCATTGAACAGGTATTAAAAATTTCTGACCTTAGAGTGGACTAGTTTGGACTGATTATCTCTAAGATCATTGCTTGGCTTTGTTTTAACATAAACCTGAAAGCTCCAGACTCACAAAATGTCTGCTTTAATGTGGGTGCTCACTCTTACCGACGATCAACTCACCAAGTTTGATTTGAGCTCGTGGCTGCCGCTTCAAATTTCTACAGATGTAGCGAGTGAATATTGAAGTTGACTAAAACTGTGATGTTCTTATACATGAAACCTCAGAAATGAAGGGTGCAATTTATTTTTCTGATGGATTTCCATTAAGCTGTCTTACACCAAAGGTTACCTTTGTGTAGCAAGAATTATTTTGTGCAATACTGTTCAGTTATGTTGTCACAATATGTGCCCATTATCCTAGAAAGCACAGTCTGGTGCTGGTTTAAAGGTTTTGTTTACGTTAAACATTTTTGCAGAAAAATGATCAAATGGCCTTGAGTACAGAGAAAATGAAGTGTTTTCTCATGGAGTGATCTTGTGTATTTTGTACATTGTGTTGGGTTTACACAAACAAAATGTGATGTGTTAATCACAGCAGTCAGCTGTCCGGGGCCTCAAACACGTTTTTTTTTCTTCTGTAGCTTTGAGTACAGCTCATCCAGGTCTTGTGATAAGCTAACTAAAATCCAAAAACATGAACAGTATCAAACGATTCCCATATTCATCAACATGACAGTACTTGCTTCACATTTTGCCTCTTACATTGAGCTGCTTGTTGTTGTCATTCTGGATGCTCTCAAACGTGTATTTTTCGGAGCGTCTCTGGCGCATTTTGAAAAGCCGGGAGCCTCGGTTCGAGGCAAGAGACAGTTCTTCCAGCATGATGTCTTTGGGCACGCACATTTTCTTCCCAAGATCCATGTCTACATCTGAGAAAAAAGAGACGAGCTAAAACACAAGACCTTGCACCGCTTTAGCCAAAGTGATTGCTCTTATATAACATGAATATTTGATTTTCCCTGATTGGGATTCTTTCACCAATCAAACACTGCTAAAAGCAAATTATTTTCATATGAAAAGACTAATAGAATTATCTTCTGCAGGCAAAGCCACCTTCAGCATGAACTGCTGATGTAGCATTCCTGACAGTATGATGAAGAGGATAGATTTCCCCTGCAAATCAACATGTGCCTAGCGCTTGTTTTGTGGTTAGCTCCTCGTGTTAGCTACTGCATGCTGATCATGGACATGTCATAGGCCTATATCCAAGTATGACACACATGATTTGCCAGAATACCTCTCAGCTGTCAGTGGCCTTCAAACCCTCCCTTTCCCTGAGCCAGGCAGTTGTCCTCACCCTGAAATAGCGCTTTCAAAGGACGACGACAACGGGATTAGTTACTTTGGCCTATAAAAGTACTCATTTACTTATTTTTGGTCAATGCAAGGGTGGGGATGGGACTGGCAACTGGTTCACTGGGAAATGAAGGGCATTGTGCCGACTGCGAGTGGCAAGAGGGATTATCACAGAAAGCAAGTGCACAAGAGATGATTCTGCTGGGTACCTTCCTGGGCTTGAACCTCCCTGCAGATTGCTGCTGCCTGCATTTTCCTTTCTCTGGTTGTCATTGTGGAAAATTGTGACATGATGGCCCTTGAGAGTTGAGGGTGCGGTAAAATGTCAAAGAAGATAGACAACATCAGTACAAGCTTTTCAAATAAATAACAAAACAAAACCAAGGCAAATACAACAGCTTTTTTGATAACGAATGGCCAACATCCAGCACATATTTGATGTACTCTGTAGAACAGAGAGAATTTATTAGGGTGGTGAAAAGGGCAAAGTTAGCACATCCCTTTAAATAACCTTGGACTGTTAAACGCCAAGAACATGCTCTTCAGACATGGCAGCCAGCTGTGTCAGGGGGTCTGGGAGTCAATATGTTTAAAATTGCCCTAGTGGACTGAAAGGACACAGACAGATAGAGAACAGAGTGCTGTCATGGCAAATACGAGATACAGTGGATGTAACAGCACAGTGGAAAGTTTACACGTTAGGTAACACAAAGGTTATAATTTAAGACATTTCTCCCAAAGTTTCTTAATATCATAAAAAAACTAAGCATTTTCTAGGCGAAGCTCAAGTCTGTTCACAATGCAGATCATAGTGTAAAAAAAGAAGTCTTGATAAGGCGGATGTTTGATTTTCAGGAATACAAACTGAACTGAGATATTATGAAAAACTACAATATTGAGAGATACAAACAGTTCATTTCAGATAACTGCAAGAGAAGAAATGCTATGTGACCAACAAGAAAATGCAGAGGGAATCACTGTGGGTGGTCGTGAGGGCCATGTCAAGGTACAAATGTTGTATTAGAACTAGACAGCACACCTGTGGAGAATCCTGAGAGATGCTTACCTGTCCTGAAGGACCCTCAGGGGGTAGTCTCAAGTTGTGCTTGTCTCTTCAGGGTGAGAAGTTAGAAAGGTGAGAGCTGGGAGGGTCAGACTCCGTTGTGCAATCTGTGTGGGTGCTCTTGCTCCTGATACTAGAGCGTGTCATAGGGAGGGTGGGCAGAGGGGGCTGCAGCCTTGCCTGACTGACTGAGTAGGTAGGTGGGTGGGTGTCAGTTTGTCTGTTGTCACTGGTATTTAGTTCACAAGTGGAGGGCGACTAAATTTAGAGCATTGCCACTACTGCTCGTTTTGCCACCCAACACAGCCAGTGGCTCAAGATGACCTGCACTCACTTCAGAAGAGGAAAACGCATGGTTTCATGGCTAGCTTCAATCATAAAAAAATAAAAAAGTCAAGTAAATGTTTTAGTAAGATGCATTTCATGTATCAGGATATTTAAAAAAAAAAAAGATAACTACCAATTCCTAATTGTTTAAATATATTTCATGAAGATGATACCATCTCATCATTTACTGTAATCTTCTGTTTTTTTTAGCTACTTTGGTTACATCAAAATCCTACTAATGTTTCTTTCAGTTAAGCTTTGGTTATCTGACAAAGAACTGAAAGCATACTTTGGTATCTGGTTGAATTCATGGGAGAATTAATGATTTTCAGGTGCAGGATCATGGGGTAGATAAACAAACCCAATCCCCAACCCTCCACCAATGAACTCTACAGTTGGTATGAGGTGTTTGATTTTCTTCAAAAGTGGTGCATTGTCATCAGACATCTTAATCTTGCACATTGCTCCAGAAGTTGAGGTTTGCTCATGTGTACCTTTGTTAAGTTGAGCTATTCTTTCTAAGTTTTTGTTTTCTTTCTTGAGAAAAAGACACAATTCCTCCCTCCATCCATTCCAAAGAAAATACATTATGTGAATTGTTCTGTTTAATTTACTCACTGAAGACATCTTTCTTCTTGGTATTGTGTGAAAATACACCTTAGAAATTTAACAAAATGTCTAACACTCCCGCTTTTGTTGAAATTCTCTTCAGTAAATTAAATGCATCTGGTCAGCCACTAAACAGTGAGTAATGTATTCATGTCAAGTCATCTAAGCAAATTTCAAGTTTTGATTGGAAGCGATGGTTATTTCCATGTTCTGATGCGTGTGTAAAAATAAAGCGGAAATGACAGACACATTTTTAAAGCTGCTGTCCACTTTAATGAAAACAATGTATTTACAAAATGCATCAGTAAAAATAATTGTTTTTTTTTTCTAATTCAGCATGAGTAGCACAAATTTAGAAGAACATACAATTTGGGAGGAGATATCTAACAACTGAGAATTTTGAACAAAAGTTAGATGTGCTATGGCTGTGAAAACATTGTTATAAAGCCCCCTCTTTCTAATGGTTGTACATTAGGAAGCAAAGAAGAAAAGAGAACCCATTGTAAACTACTGACAAAGTCTTATGATGAAGAATAAATCTGCCTCACTTGTAATCATCAGCACTTCAGCTGCACTGCCAACAACAGATACAATCAGTGTGATTATGGCCCCCTTGGGGCCTGCAAAGCAGTCCGATACTATTTGTTTTAAATGCCATCATGTGATATATGGTGAATAATTCTGGTACACTTCCTCTAAATCATAATCACTGACTTTTAAGTAACCATGCCGAATTGAATTTACCTTACTCTCTATGTGTTTAATGAGGAAAATAGAGACATGGAGATTGAGTTTTCAGGCAAAGAAAGAAACTGTGTGTAGTGGAAAACTGGAATGCTTGGTACATGGAAGGTCACACTAAAAATAATCTTAGAATTAAACATGTTCTAAGATATGTGTGCTGCTCCTTATGGTCTTTGCACACATTATGCTTCAAGCGCCATTTTTCATCTTCCACTGAAATTGTTTTCCAAATCTGAACTGGTGGAGGAATCATTTCCGTTAATAGCCTCCCTCTGTGCCCTTATCCCTCATTCTCTAATGGCTAAGCAGCAGTTGGTACCCACGGTTATTATGTAAGCAGAGGTCACCATGGGAACAGGTCTTCTCCCAACCCCCTGTGCTGTATGCAGGGTGACCATTCCAACACTGTGTATCATACAAAAAGCTTCATGGGATGCTACAGCAAACAATAAATAGCCCAGAGTTAGAGTTAGAGTGGAAAACACAAACACACGGTGCGGTCTGAGATACTGTGGTACATGGTGGTGTTTATTTTGTGAAATGCTTAAGGTGCATCTATGTCTAAATGACTTTAGAGCAGAAATAAAACAATGACATTGTTTTATGACCAGTGTCTGCGTTGTTTGCGTGGAAGCAGTACATGGAACTGGTCACAGTTATGCTACATTATGCAATAGTCATCAAATAAGCCAGTGAACACACAACACAATATAGTGTGGTATTTATGTTGGTAAAACTCCTTGGTGAGAATTGCAACCAGACACTATGCACACTTGGTGGGAAGAAAAATTACCAAGCTCCAGATTGGATTACATTCTATAGCAACAGTCCAAACCAAATACAACCTTCAAACCAATGACGTACTGTATGCTTCAAGCAAAACTTTCATGTACCATGTACCATGGATTAGTTAATATATACCAGTCAACTTTCAATGTCAAACAAAACTTCAGTATCCCTCTGAATACTGTAATTTACAGTTTACTGCAACACATTAATTCACTTTCCTCCCTGTAGATAAATACAGGTTCTGAACAGCTGAAATTTTAATCACCTTTGCTCTTCACAATATTGTGTGGACATGTGCAAAAGCAAGTAATTAGCAAGTAATCTCAATTACTGGAGACTATGTGACATGTTTGCTAGAGATACAGCGGTAACCTTTCTTCAATTTCCATTCACGACTATAGGGTTCTAATAAGTTTGTGTTTTGAAAACATTACAAACTCCCATCATAAATGTACATAACATTGACACAAAACAGCCAAATAAAAAATGTAAGGATGCTCTGTGCATAACAACCATGGAAGAAAATAAGATCCAAAGCAATAAAGAAACAACGAAAATTCAGGAAGTTGAAAGATGCAATGTTGCTTAGAAATGGTTGCTTAGAAATCGTTAAATTTCTTCTCAGGTTTTCCAAAACAGACACAAAATTTAGACTCCATAAATCAGCTACAGGTATCCAGAGATATACTGCCGATGTAATCAATGATGGAAGTTCATTCACTGTCATTTAAATTCCAAGCCCACAAATGTACCCCCCTCAAACCCCCTTCCCCACCCCCCACAGTGTTTCACTAATTCCTATTTTGAAATTTGCTGAGCCTTTTTTATCTTGTGACTCCTGTATGCAAAGTAAACTATCAAATCTAAAACCTGTAACACTAAATATATGACAGCAAAAGCGTCCACATACCCATGCAAAAATAAGCTTATTTTGGATGCTTTTAATCTATTGATCAGTCAAAAGAAACTTTCAGCTACAGATAAATGTATTGTGGGTTCTAAGAGGAATAGGATATGACTCATTACGTCCTACCGCCTCCAACTGTGGGTACTGCTGGTATACACAGACTTGTGAGCTTGTTTTTCCAAGCGCTTGTTCCACTCAGACAAAGATGCAGAGGGCCTCAGGTTTGCCTCTGCCACATACCTCTGAGGCTGCCACTGTCTGGGCAGAGACCTGTAACTCACTTGACTCCTGACAGGGGAGGAAACAAGACTCTTTGCTTGGGGCATGAATGATGAAAGTGGAGCACGACTCTGACTTTGGCTTTGACTCCAAGTCTGACTGCCTATTTTCTGCTGGGCTTGGTAAGAAACCCTGGCCCTCCATTCTGCTGGCACCTTGGGAAGCATTTTACGGTGGGCTGCCAAATGAACATTTGAAATGAGAGATTGCTGGAGATTCTGAAAAGCAAACGCCTCTTCTACCAAGCCCTGGGGATGGCGGGAAGCAGCCTCCCAGGGGCTGAGGGGTTTGAAGCCTTTTTCCAGCCAGGATGTCTGCCTTGCTGGGGGAGCTGTGTAGGCTCGAATTGGAGGCTTGGGCGAAGAAGAAGCAGAGGCTGATTTCTGGCCTGAGGATAACACCCTGGCTGGTGGCGAAAGGGAGTAGCTTCTGCCAACTGCCTGTAAAGAAGGATCCAGACATGTTTATTTTAGTAAGGGCTCATTTTTGTCTGGCTGACTTGCAAATCAGCTTAGAAAACAACCAACAACTGAGAAGCTCTGTGTAAACATAATTTTGTAAAGTGCTGTATTTTAGGATTTAAAATGTGTTGTTTGAGTCTTTGTGAAATAATATATAAGATTAAATATTTTTGTTGATAATGCACACCAAAGTACATTGTTTTCAGAAGCACTTAAAACTTGTTCAATCTGGATGTTATCTTAAAGTTAGTTATTCCACAATAACTCTACAACTCAATGTTTTCACATTCACCCATAAAGTGATCTGAACTCCACATTTGCCTAAATGGCGATAATATGGTGTCTGCGAAATGTTTGATACCCAAGCTTTCCCTTTTTTACCCGAGAAAATGAAATATTTATGAGCTTACTATGTCTTTTCTCCTGTGGAGAAAAAAAAACTCATCATGGGCTCTTGCTGGACCATTACAGTTTACTCTGGTGAGTTCAGAAAACACACAAAAAAAGGGAAGTGCTGCCATCCTCTGGTGAGAGATGTGTACAACCAGAGGATGGCAAAAGAAGGCAAAAAAGGACAGACAAGATGGAGCAAAGGGATGTCACAGAGAAATCATCAACGAGGAGTGAATTTGATCAAAATTATCAACATTTTAATACTTGCAGCAGACCTTTCCTTGAATAGGGCAGTCTGAATAATATATAAATACATAAATATTAAACTGGGACACAATCTGATTAAATTATTGCTTAGATGACGGCACATGGATTGATTTTGTGTTTATTCCACTGATCTCATTCTAATTATTCTATTATCAATCTTAAACCTAACGAATTAAAAAATGTAGCAGAGCAGGCCTCACTGTGTTAATATACAAACTTTGATCTGATCTTCTATGGGTTTAAGCTAAATTGGGCTTTGCCATAAGCAGTGTCTAGAGCATGCATACAACATAGTACACGCAAAAGTAAAAGATTACAAGAATGAAATCCCTCTTCTGTGAAGTGTGTTGAACAGTCTATCTTAGACCTTATTGAGTCAGTTTCAATTTTAGTATGACGCTTTTGTTGTTTTTAAACAATCATGTAAAAACTGACTAATAAACATTAAAGTGTTTTAGAGATATGTGTGTAATCCATCCATCCATTGTTTTAGAGATATGTAACAAAGACAATTAGTGTTTTCAGATTCTTCTTTTGTCAGAATTTTTTGTATCAATCAGATTCAGAAAGTTTTAAAATTACTTTACAACTGCTTGCTGAAATCGTTGCATGTATTTATTTAAAACTGTGGAAACTTGAACACATTTCAGCTTCACCCCACTAACTTAGTCAACATCTACAATTATCCAATGACATCAAACTGAAGTCCCCTTTCTAAAAATATATCTTTCAGATATGCATCATCAAGTAGTTCCTCCGCAAGACTGTGGTTCTCGAGAATGTCTCCAAATTCTTTAAAAAGGAAGTTATTGCGATAATATGGCAAATCTGGGTAATCCTAACAAGCTCTCTAGTTGTAGTTTGATGAATTGCCTGAAAGTGTGTCACCTTTGTTTTCTGGTTGTTATAAACAGCTGTATTTATAGTGCAGGTGAAGAAGCAGTGGAATTCAATGAAATGAACAGAAAAGAGAGGAAATATTGATAAAAACACAAAAGTCTGCTAAAAAGAGAAAGGAAAAGGATATCAAAGAAGGATAAAAGACAGTTTAATGGCACTGCAGTGACTTATACAGAAAGTGTGCAATGAAGAAAAGCACAGCAAGTAAAAGGAAAAAACAAAGGAACATGAAGGGAAAAAAGCAGGCCTTGGCAAGTAAATACATTTGAGGTCATCAGCTTACTTTTCTAATGTTAGTCAATATGCGATATTATTTCATATTAAATTAATATACATATATGTATCTATGTTTATAAACAATATCTGAAAATGCATGAAACAATCATCACAAAGGTTTGAAAGACAAACTTTCTTTGGCTTAAGTTGAAGTCTAAGCTTTCTCTTTGGGCCTCAGAACTGATCCTCTCATGAGGCAGGTTAAAAATAGTATCTAACATGATGCAACAGCTGGTGAAAACCCCAAAATAAAGTAACCCACTTACGTGGGTTCTATGGAAGAGAAGCTGGAGTAAAACACTAAAGAAAAAAAGCACATTGATAAGCATATTTATGCTTACCCAACCCTGTGCTCATTGTAACAAAGAAAAGAACTGCATTCTATTACCTTAAAGTGGCCTTGAACTCCAGAGTTGTTACATAATGTCTGAACTCAACATCCCTGACGCTGCAGATTTAGCCATATCATTACCCCCCACCAAACCACACCAGCCCCTCCTTTACATGTTTCACTTTGATTTTGATTTTTACAATCTCCATCTATTTTTTTGCACATTGTAAAATTAGGACTACGTTGCATTTCTTTTTCTCAATAATGATCTTCTTTCTTTCACCATCAGAAACGACTCACTCTCAAATCTCCTCTGCTCTCATCTTTTCTTGAATGTCTTCCTGACCATTTTGCTCCCCTACATTCTTATATTGACAGTCTTTAACCATTAACACACAGTTACTAAAAATCACATTTTCCCATTTGTACAGAGTTATTAAGAGTTGGCATCTAACTTACAACCTGTTTTCATTCTTAGTTTCTTAATGAAGTCTTTCAAATTAGTTTAGAAAATATGTAAACCATTAAGCTCTGCTCAATGAAAATAATGTGAGCATATAGGATGGAAATTATATCATAAAGGCAAGTTGATAGTATATGCTCAATATATTCCACTTGGCAGTTTTTTTCATAAGAACACAAATCCTCTGATCCAAGAGCACAATAAGCATAAAATGATTCTATGAGAATCACTCTTTTTCAACTGCAGCAGGTTTCCACACTTGTGCTGAGCTTTTGTTTGCTGTGAATCTAGGCTTAGGAGCAGCCATAGTGCTGCCACCAGATGTAGATTCAGGCCTAGCACTGATAGGGAAACTGGGAGCAATGTAGCGACTGGTAGGCTGAGGCTCATAAGGGACGGAGGGAGTAGCCAGATAGGGTGGGCTGTTGGCTGGCTGGTAAGCAGCCTGTAGTGCCTGTTGGTACGGAGGGTTTAAAGTCTGAGGTACTTGTGGATGATAAGCAGGTGGGACAGGTTGATGATACTGTTGGTTATATTCTTGCTGGTATGGACCACCTGGAGGCTGCTGATAAGGATAAACATTAGGTTGGGTTTGCTGATAGTGGACATCATGCATTACAGGCTGCATAGGCATTCCAAAGGCTTGCTGGGGATATGGTGCATTAAACGGTCCAGTTTGCTGGACAGGGGGCATTTGTTCATATCTAATTTGTTGGTTATCAATGGGTGGGTTAGGTGGTGAGCAGCTTGGTTTTGGTGGAGGAGGCTTGACGGCCTCTGCTCCTTGGCCAAAGATAAAGAGTGAGGAATCTAACTGATAGGGCTGATGCTTCATGACATCAATAACATTGAGAGGCTTAGGCGCAGGCTTCTTTTTCTCTTGGTCTTTTTTATTTGCTTTGGTTAAAGGACTACTTGAAGGGGGTTGCTTTGATGCTGCAGGGGGATAAGATGGAGACTGAATAGGATTATAAGCCCGTGGGGGAGGAGCACGTACGTTGGGAGTATATTTCCATTCAATCGGTAGGGAAGCTGCAGGTGATGTTGACCGGCTTGCCTTGTTTGCTTCCACAGTCTCAGAATCCACAACAAACTTCTCCATTCGAGACTGCCGCTTGGCGAACATGTCAGCTCCTTTGCCTTTAACAACTGGCATTTCAAAAGCTGTACCTGCTGATGTTTTAGGATTTAAGACTGTGGCCATTGGATTAACTGGTGATGATGCTCTTTCCCCAACAGTGAACGAGGGCATTCGGCGAGGTGGAGGAGGAGGAATCTGGTTTTGCGGAGGATTTTGTGGTGGATGCCAGAGTTTTGGAGATGGTTGGGTATTTACTATAGATGTGGAGGCATTCATAGGTGCATGCTGTGACTGTGGCGTCCAGATGCTGACAGGTGTTTGAGGCTGTGCCTGAGTAGAAGGCCATGAATTTACTTGTTGTTGGGGTGGAGTGCTGGAAGTGGGTTGTGGCCAATTTGACTGCTGTGTGGGCTGAGGTGGAACAGCCTGAGCCCAAGGTGGTTCATGTTGGGCTTGATGTTGCTCCTGGGGCCAAGTATTCATCTGGTTATGACCATGCTCTGATGGGTGTTGAACCCAGGAGGGTTGGGACTGGACAGGCACCGGTGCCCATGGGTTTAGATTAGCTTGAGGCTGTGGTTGTGGATGTGGTTGTGCTGCATGGATCCAGGGTGGTTGAGCTTGGGCTTGAGCTTGTGATGGGCTCCATGCATCAGGTGGTTGCTGTTGATGTTGAGGATGACCTGTGACCCAAGGTGGCTGAGATTGACCCGGTGCTTGGGCTTGTGGCCATGACTGTTGCAAAGCTTGGTGCTGTGGAGGCTGAACCCATGGCGGTTGTGGCTGGGGCTCTGGCTGAACCTCTTTAACCCATGGAGGTTGTACTTGGGGCTTTTTCTGGGATTGTTGTACCCAAGGTGGTTGCTGTTGAGAATCATTTTGTAATTGCTGTGTCCACTGGCTCTGGGGTTGTTGGTGCTCTGGTTGTTGGGCTTGACCCCACATAGGCTGAATTTGTTGTTGGTGCGGTTGTTCGTTTGCATGTGTCCAGGTTGGCTGAACCAGTGGCTGAGCTTGTGCTTGTTTTTGAGGTTGGGCCCAGGGTGGCTGTGTATTTCTCTGGTCTTGTACTTGCTCTTGAGGCTGAGTCCAGGATTGCTGAATTTGAGGTGTCCAATTATTTATGTTGGGTTGAGGTTGTGCTTGGTTTTGGATAGGCTGACGACTAACCCATGGTGGTTGTGGTGGTGACTGACTTGGAAGTGACTCCTGGGGCTGTATTTGAGCAGGATGCCAAGAACTGGGAGGTGCCTGCTGTTGTGCTTGTGTTTGTGCTGCACCCCAGCTTGTCACATGGGAGGACTCAGGCTGATGAGAAGAATTCACCTGAACATCAGACTCTATAGCTGTTGTTTCAAGAGGCTGCTGAGATTCTGGCTCCTGGAGAGTCCATGTATGTTGTTCTGCTGTGTTGGTATTCACAGGAGTCTCCTTTGGAGCAGGCGGGGGACGAGGCTCAGAGGCAGGTGCAGCAATTGGCTCTAGTTGTGGAACAGGGAGAGTCTCTGCAGCAGGGGCTGCAGCAGGTGTGGACAGGCTATTTTCAGCACACTGAGGTATGTCCTGGTTGGTTGATTCTATCTGTGGCGACCAAGGAGGAGAGTTGGGGTTGATCACAGGCTTAGGGGCAACTGGTGGTGGAATTTTAGGTTTAACTCGTTGGGACTGGAGGAAATTGCAAGCTTCAGCCCCAAGGCTAAGGTAGTCTTCCTCAGGTCCTGATTCAAAACCCAATTTTTTACCACTGCTGTTGAGAAGGTTCAGCAAAGCTGGGTTTGGAGATAATTTTGGGGTTTCTTTAAATGTAAACATAGGCTTCCCAGTATTTCTTTTCTTTGTATCCGTGAGAAGACCTGTTCGAATAGCAGGAGTCGAAATACGCTCATCACGGGACGCTATCTGTTCTCCTTGACTCACAGAATCTTGATTGGTCCCAGAAGCTGCATGAGAATAAGGGGTTGCAGCCATGCTCTCAGCTGTGAAAGGCTTTGCGGTGCGGTTGCTGAAAGAATTCTGGCTTTCATTGGTTTGATGCTGCATTATGCCATTTGCAGAGTAGTGCTGCATTTGCTGTTGCTCTTGATGGTATTCTTGCTGCTGCTGATACATTTGCTGTTGTTGGTATTGCCTTTGTTCATACTGCTGCTGCTGATATTGTTGTTGTTGGTAGTTCTGTTGTTGTTCATAGTATTGTTGTTCTTGATATTGCTGGTACTGCTGTTGGCTTTGTTGGTGCATGTTTACATCCATGTAAGCATGGCCCTCTGTTGTGGATTGCATGTATGAATGTTCCACTAACTTTTTTTCTGTCTCCTGCAATCCTTCTACTGGCATCCCTTGGCGTCTCATCTCCTCATGTTCAGCAGAAATCTCATCCATCCTCTGACGGCGCTGAGCAAACATGAGTGCACCTTTTCCTTTTGTATCAGGCAAACATTCCATCTCACTTTGGCTGTTTAAGTTTCTTTCAATCTCAAGAAGACCCTTGTCCAGGCTGAAAGTCAAAGCACCTTTGTAACTTGGGACATTAATGAGGAAAGGCTTGTCTGATTCAGATGCCAAAAATGTAAATTCACCAGCTGATGTTTCTTGTTTGTTGCCGCTGTTTGACTCGTCTTCCTCGTCACTGTATTCTGGTTCGTCGTCGCCCGTGCCGTAGCTCACAAGTGTGTATTTCTTGGCTCTCTGGCGATGTTTCTTGAACATCAATACCCCCTTGTTATTGGGGTTTGGTGGTGCAGCTGTAAGAAGTAGAGCAATACGCTTACATTTGGACTTGGCTTCCTTCACCTGTTTCTCAGACAGACTCTCGTTACGCCTGAGCCCTGAAAAGAGAAGAAAAATAAAGTTCTGTGTTCAGAAAATAATTTAAAAAAAATTGTGTTTTTCTCAAGTTGTTGATATTACTTTAAGCCAGTAAATATTTTTTTTTGTAAATGTAATGTAAATTGTACAATTGTAGAATTTATCATCAATATATCAAGTTGAAACTTTTAAGTTTTCCTCAAGGTGAAAGGCGATAAAAAAAAATTCTAAAACAAGGACAACTCATAATGCTATTAATTTCATCTTGTAACATGATACTCATGATGACATACTGTAAATCATGGGTTTAGACCAATAACGTTTGCTCACAGAGGGAGCAGAAACTTTGATTACAAAAAACTACTGACATCTCATGCACTGCTTTTGAACTTTCCCAAACATGCACAATTATTGAATAAGCAAAAGACTGATGTCTAGACAGATATAACTAAATATATTCTTAGATCAAAATAGATAACAATATTTGATTACTTTTAACTTTAATTATTGTTTCCTAAGATGAACAGAAAACATTAAGTCATTAGTCATTAAATTGCACTACGTTAGATATCTTGTTCATACCAGTAAAAGATCCAGGACTTTGAGCTTAAGAAATAACCAACATGCAGTCAGTTTTACTTGGATCAGAGGATCTTAACAAGTCCCTGTTGTAAGCTATCAAGTTCACCACTAAGTAGCAAGTCTGACACATTTGCTGACACCTAGGACATCAAGACACACCACATGACAAAGACTCACAAACAATCCATTAATGCAAAGCTGTAACAAAATGACAAGTAGGCTAACTTCTGCAGGACTAACCTGAAGGTGGAGGAGACAACAGGAGTGAGCAACAGGCTCACTTTTTCAGCTCACTTAAAGCACCCAGTATGAAAGGATCAGGTAACAGTTTAGGGGAGCACATGCTGGTGTCTGTCAAAGGGCCATTTCTGCAGGCATCATCAGCGTGCTGGTGTTATATTTATGTCTTCCACACAGCTCAGAGGAACACCTCGGTATTCATATTCACCATCATGACAGTTTTAAATGGATAGTGTCAGTTAAACGTCTGAGCATAAATGAGTATATTCGTGTTCTAATTTATGCTCAATTAGACGTTTCTTCATCTAAATTATTGGACTTTGTTGACTCTTCTATGTACATTTTTAATCCATTCTAATTATGGTCACACCTGGTTGTATCTGCTTTTATTCAAGGTAATGAGCACCCTTTTCAAACTGCAGCAAGAGAAAGACATACAAAGCACATCAGGCTTTTTTAACACAAACGTGCAGTGTTGTTACTCTTTAATGATCTGCTTGGCTCTCACATAGATGCCTAAAGAAAAAAAATAATGCACACCATGAAGATCCTTACTGGGACAAGAAGCATCTAACAAAAGTTAGCCGAAGGTTACTTACTAGCATGCTTTGCCCGATGCTTGTTGGGTTTGTCCTGATCCCCCTCAGAATCAGAACCCTGCTCTTCCACTGGTGCTCCCTCTTCTGATGGAATTTCAAATGAGACAGTAAAAGACCCAGAAACATCTTCGAAGTGCCCTCCTCCTTCCTCGCCTTCACTTCGGGATCCAATGCTTTCACTGACCCCGGGGCCACCCACATGAATGCCCCTCCCTGCTCCTGATGCTGCTGGCTGCTGCAAAGTGACTTCCACCTGCCCCAGCATCGAGGGGGAGCTCACCACCACTCCATGCTGGCTGAGAGGCTGTCTGGCAGGGCATGGGATGCAGTGCAATGTAGTGGCAGTGTAAAAGGTCTCAGCACCTTCTCTATTTGAGAATTCCCCTTCAATTCCACGAGCACTCCCAAGAGAGGTGCAACCAACATCGTCCAAGGTTTGCTCAGAAAGAGACACCTGCAGCTCCACCATGTCCCTAAGGGAGACCCACTGCTGTTCTCCATCACTCTTTTCCTTGAAATACAGCTCACAGCCTCCACGATCATCAGATGAGGGAACATGTAGCTGAGTGGAAAGAGGCTGCAGTCTCTTGGGAAATTTGTTGTCACTGTCCAGCTCCCTGTAACAGGTCTCGTCCTGGCCCTCAGAAACACAGAGCTCCCGAGGAGTTTGGGACCTGTGCTTTGGTGAGAAGATATGAAGCGTGGTACTCTCTAAAGCCTTTCCTGAAGAGGCCATCTCACCACAGTATGTCTCTTCAGATTCACATTCTTCAGGGAAGATGATGTGATATCTTTGGAATAAAAGCAGGAGAAAAGCAATGAAAAACGGAGGAAAATCAGTATGATATAACTGATAATATTTTATATTCCATTTGTAAGGTAATGGGGAATTTTTCTTGACATACCGCCGGCATTAAAAGGTTGATGACATATTTGAATACAATGGGAATCTATTTTCTATACAAACAACTCCATTTTAATTTATCCTGAACTGCTTTTTTTCACAAAGACACAAAAATGTTCACACAAATCTGTTTTGACATTGATGAACAATTCAAACACTAAACAGTCACTGCACTGAAGCCGTCCTTTTACTATGTTAGCTACCAGAGCAATCAGATGCGTCTGATCTTCAAGCAGCAAGTCAGTAAAAAGGTCAGGGCACTGAAGTGGAAAGTAATCAAATTTTAATCAAACTTTGTCTAATTTCCATTTTCAAGGTCAGCCTGAGAGAGCATTACAGAATGGAATGGTCTCACAGGAGTGATGCAAAAAGACTACAAAAAGATAGTGACTCCATTAAAATGAGAAAAAGTCATGATCGTATGATTTAAAAAAACACAATTTGTGATCACAACCAAAATTCTATGAATGAAAGCAAAACAATATTGAAACAAGTGAAACTGCACTAAATGGTTCTCTGAATGTTCCTTTGCTTTTATAACAGCTGTTTATGTGCTACATAAGAGCACGGCAACAGAGAGGGGGCAAACAATTTGTCACAGAAAGAAAAACACTCCTGAAATAAACAATATGAGTTGGGTTGGTGTTTAACACACCTTCTCACTTTGTTCTTGTTGAGATGTCTTCAAAAAAAAGGTCTGAGTTTCAAATCTGCATGTACACATGCAAATATGAAACATCTCAGCTAAAACAACTGGAAGGCCAGCATGGCTGAGACACATTTTCTCATTTAAACACATACAGACATGGATGCACATGAATGGTGCAAAAGGGCACCGGTCAAAAAGAACATGCTATCTAAATGCTAATATAAAGGAGCCAATATCAGTTTGCATCGCTACTGTGAACACCAAGGACCTACAGCACTGCATTATGCAATTACATGCATATTTCCTCAAAGACGTACATACATGTTATGGTTTATTATTTTATTGTCTATATTCTTATATTAACAAATGAAATCCCATGGTCACGAAAAGACTGCAAATACAATAATTTTCTTGGCACTTCACAGCTGTTATATAATACCAGCAGATGACTGATATGAAAAACTACCTTTTGAGAAGTAACTGCAAACACTCGATAGATGTGTCGATGAGTGCAAATGCTCGTAAAAGTGTCAGATCGGCACATGGCTCCCCATTAATGGACACCACCTCATCACCATCCCGCACACCAGCCAGGAAGGCACGGCCACTCTCATCTACCTGTAGGATGAAATTGTCGAAAACAAAAAACAGTAAGAATAAAAAAGTAAGAACATTTGGATGTACACATGGTCATGAATAAGTAAAGAAAAAAAAAACTGATAGGCAAGTAATTAAACAATATTTAGGATAGTATTTGCGCTAAATTTGATTCTTGAAGTTCAAAATATCAAAAGAACATTGATTTCCTTAAATTACGCAGAATCGACTGACAATTAATTAAACATGTTTCACAACTATGCCATCACTGCCATGCAAGATGTTGGTGGGGTGTTTAGTAATGACAGTGTCCAGTCCATTTTTTATTTCAGCTGTGCATTATAGCTGTAGGTCAGTGCAGCACGGATCCATTTAAAAAGGTCACCACTTTACATGGTTACCCCGTGACAGATGGTTTCAATATCTTATAACTGGTTCCTCTAGCTTAAAGGCTAATTAATAAGTGCATTTACTTGGCTCTATAAAAAATCCACACAAAAGGCCAATTACATAGCTATTAGTAAAGACTGACACATTTTTCTTCCGAGTATTTAGCAAAATCTCTTCTTGAAGGTCAACATTTGTCGCTGGCCTTCAACATTTCAATTAGTTTTTAATACTTGAAACTACTTGAAAACAGGAATAGGTTCTAGGTACATTTTATTTTAGTTTTTAACGTCCAAAATATTGAATGATTAAAACATGATAACATTGACAGCACAACAAAGTCATTAAAAAACTATAGTTTTAAACAGTGTCACCAAATATTGTTAACAAGGTAAGTGGTAATTTAAAGAGGAAATCACTTAAGACCAAATGTAACAACCTGACACCTGGCGGTTATACATTTCCCTACCTATTTTAACAAAACATGTAATGAATTATCAGAAATTAAAAAACAAAACTTTGCAATGAATATAAACAATTTGCTTAATCTTGTTATAAATGCTGCCCCAGAAACTTGTAGTGAAAACAGTTTGTCACTAGATGGCGTTGCAAATACATTTTCCTCTTGTAAATAAGCGAGATGATCCTGAACAACAAATAAAAAAATAAAAAAGGCAAAATGGTTTTACTCTCCAGCTGCAAAATGTGCCTTTTTTAAACCACGTGCATGCTTTTCTATTATTTATGTTTGTGACTAGTTTCCTTCTTTATTTATCAATGTAAAGAGCAATTCCTTGCATTCAAACAAACTTTGTTCTCAGAATGTGACTCAATCTAACATAAGCAACCTCCAGGACAATAAAAGAGGCCGACTTTGCACTATAAACAAAGCATCACAGAGATACAACACGGAGATGGTAACTTTCATGCAACTCCTCAACACCATCCTCACTCAGGTTTTTAAGGGTTTCGAGTGTGTAAACACACCCAATAAGGCAATCTTATTATGTGCCTGTTCACTGGGACTTGCACCTCATTGCAGGATGGATGGATTTGTCTGGAATGCCTCTGCAATAATTCCCTACTCCTAAAAAGGAGGTGAAATATTCATTGTTGCCTTTCTTCACAACTCTGTTCACTGTTTCAGTCCTGTTTGAAAGGTTCCAAACTTGTAAAAAGGAGTCTGATCGATTTGCATGTAACTGCCATGAAAAAAAGAAGTAACCGCTGTATTACTATGCCAAAGTTTATCACAAAAACAACACCATGTGGCAGCAGACACATTTCGAATAACAGGCAAAAACTGCAACAGAAAATTGCCTTAGTATCAAACAGCAAATGTTGATGTATGGCTCAGAGCAGTTCCTGTCTTTCACAGCTTTGAGCAATCATGTATTTACACTTTTACAGCTGCTTGCATTTAACACTCACCATGTGGGAAGATTCAATGTCTTAACTCACTTGTTGTTCATTCATTGCTACAAAACTTCAATTCCTTTTCTATTAGTGGACTAGAGATGCAATATTTATCATGAGAATCAAGTTGGTACTTTTGACACTTTAGAGCATGAATGGGTGAATGGATTCCCCCTTTGTTTGCCTGAGGTTTCCCGTCTCTCTTCAACCGTCCACAGCTGGAGATTTGAAATGATAGAACAGTTTTAAAGTGGTGTAGGAAAACATGAAAAGAAAAAGCCATTTTTTCGTTGGAACTAATCTTCTCACTTTAGTTTTACCAAGCCTCTCTTTGGGAAATGTTGACCTGCAGCAGCAGATTGCTGATAAAACTCAGAGCCATGCAACTCCAGCAACATTATCTAGTTGAAACAGTTAGAACTCAGGCCTGAATCTTTTTTGATGCAGTGAAACAGCTATGCAAGTACAGCTATAATCTGAGGTGTTTTATCTGGCAAAACAGGGTTTCCAAAAACACGCTGAGCCTAAACTATGAGTGTAGATTCTAGAGGTTGTAGTTGTAGAACTATTTGCGAAAACATTGCTCAAGCAATGGTATTTCGTTTATTGCTTGACAGCTTAATAAGGATCTCATGGTGCACGATTAGGGCTGAAAAATTGGCAACAAGAGGCCTTTATTGCTCTGTAAATTATATAATAATCCCAGCAAAGAGGACAATTCACTCAATGGAATGGGCATTATTTAATTTGATGTTGTTCTAAAAAGGCAAATTTGGAAACTTTGCAAACTTGCATTAAAGTTCAAATCACTTTGTATTTTAGTGTTCCATGTCTGTCCTGATGTATGATGGCATTCTACATACCAAGACCTTAGTGATTGGGGCCAAAATCTGTCTTAGCCTGGAAGGTGTAATGATTCTCTCTTGAGGAGTATCTGACAAATGTTAGCACTCTCTGTGTCTGTTGAGAAATTAACAACAGAAATCTTAAGGAATGTTGTGGGAAAGTTCAAAATAGTATTCTGGTGTTTCTGTAGCTTTAAAACAAAAGTGACCTAATCAGATTTTTATCCCTGCAAGGCCTCCAAATAAGAAGAAAAACAAACCTTCCTTATAAGGAGAGAACCTTTTAAGCATGGATACCCCCGTGCCCTCTTACTGTACAGCCTGTCGGTGCAATGAACAATCAGTTTCTCTCAAGAAACGAAAAACAGATTCCACAACATTCAAAAGAAGAACATTACATCAGTGGAAAGCTTACAACTTAAGACTTCTGCTTATGATGTCGGTATGTTTACTTCTTAAACTTTTCAGAAACAGACCTCTGTCCTTTCCACAAGATAAGTTTGAAGGTATTTTCAAAGTTGTGCCTTCCAGATGAGGTCTTCTGAAACCCCCAGATGTCCCAAGTGGAGGTAAATGCATCATATATGACTTCTTCCTTCCAATAAACCTAAAACAACTACCTAAAAAACTTTAATGTAAAACACAAGAGTAGTTTAGAGGCTGGGACATGTTAAATTCCACATTTAGGTCTAAAATTAGATGTGAAGTTTCACAAGCAAATTAAAACGTGAACAGGCATTAGAAGTAGGGGGTCGTCTGCTGCACGCGGGCCCGGAAAAGCTTGCTGTAATTGTCGTTTTTGGCATGACCTCTTGCAAGATTGTATGTTTATGTTCATGAATGATCTTGTTTCACAGTTTCTGATGTTGAATTTAACTCAATCTTGAATGTTTGTCTTTAGGTTCCTCAGTTTATATAATACATATATATCAATACATCTCATGGAACCAAAATCTTAAACAGAACTGAGTGATTACATTCTATTTGAATCCAGCTCAATAAATTACCGGTCTGAGGCATCTCAGTTAAAAAAGGGCTGTTAAATGATGAGAAAAACTTAATCATACACAATTTGAAATAATGTTTAGGTCACGTCATAAATCTCTCATTTTTATAACTGCAGTTATTAAAAACAGGTTGAGCATCTTTCCCTAAAATGATCTATTGATAATGAAAGAGTGGGTGAAGCGTTCTTGTAGAGGAGCTTTGATGTCTCAACAAGAATGCAGCTTAAGAAAAACATTTACATGTTCACTGTGTGGATGACAAGCTGACAAGGGACCTGTGTTTGTGAGCATGCATGAAAATACCATATATAGAGGGGCAGCCCCTATCAGAAGTAAAAGCCCAAATACATCACTGCAACGTATTGTTGTATTTCTATTAATTTCTTTACAAATCTAAATATACAAGACCCAAATTCTAACCTGGCTAAAAACTGTCTGTATGCGATTAAACCAGCAATGACCAGCCCTTATACAGTGAATAAATGCACAAGACACAAATAAGTCTTAAATTATGACAAAGTAACACGAAAAAGCAACACTGGTGTTAAGTTCTTACAAATAATGCTTTCAAATAACACCCAAGGATATAAAAGAATTAAACAATGCCATTTACATGGAAAAGTGGGTTTACCAATGGACAGAGGTTCAAACAAAATCCTCAACCTCAGTTTTATTTTCCCATTAACAGGCTGAACAAATGCTATGTATAGTAAACTTTTAAACTTTACTACCCTCCTTTATCCTTTTAGAAACCAGATACTGATTTCTGCACAAGCAATGTTTTAGTTTCAGCTGGACCAGGATGAGTTTCTGTTTGTTTGTCTTATCACTCAGGTATCCCACTCAGAAGAAGAAATATTACAGATGATGTTTTGTTTTCATGCTGAAGCCCTTGAAACCGATGACAGCTCACATTGCCCTGAGCTTCAAAAACTCTCTTAGCCTTGACCATATAAGGGTGCTGAGGAATCTCTCACCAAAACACAGCCAACACACACAAGAATGTTGCCACACGCACTACTCAGAATCTATTCTGTCCTGCCACAGACTTCAGACTTTAGAAAATGTTGTTTGATAAAATAGAAATTTCTCAAAAGATTTAGGATTGTACTTAACACAAAAAATTCAAAGTCGATAATAAGCATGAGCAAGTAAACAAAAGATAGATAGATAGATAGATAGATAGATAGATAGATAGATAGATAGA